AAATTGTTGATTTTTGTTAGAAAAAAATGTTTTAAGTAATATTTAACAAATTAACTTCAAATAAAAGAGTCATTTTTAATAGGCAAGATTGTTTTGCCAGTTTACAACGTCATGTTTGTTCTCGAAATTGTGAAAATTACCTACTTAGTTTTGGTTTTTTCAAGGGTTAAAATTAGAAATCACATCATTTTCAAAATTATGAAAGCTCGCCTGTGATATGAGCATACAAGAAATTATTTTGTATTTGGTCACGGTTAGATCTAAAAGTTGAGCGTTATTTTGAGCTGATTTTAATTAGATTGGTTCATAAAATATCATGGAAAAAGATGTATTTATACTGGAGTAAAATAAATTCTGAATTTATTATGAAATTAAAGATTATATTCAAATCCAGTATAAGGACACGCAGCTCTGATAACTAAAATTTGAATGTCGTTTGTAAAATGTTTACAGCATTTGAAGCGTTATGTAATGCCTCATTAATTCATGACTCAACAAGCATTTAAGATCACAAATAATTTACTGTAAATCAAATTAAACTGCTACTTGAGATATCATTATGATATATTAAAGATAGGATATTTTCCTATATTAATTTACACCTGGAGCTGGGCTTTATATATTTTTGCCAAAATGATATTTAAAAGTTGCACATTTTTCCTTGACTTGCGGAAAAGATCAGGAGTTTAATATTTTGTCCCACTATTATCTTGCATTTTTGATTATATTTAAACCTTTTTCTCTCTTTTTTTTGTTTTAAATTTTAAATTTCATTTATGAAAGACTGTAGAGCAAACTTTATATCAAAATCAGATACTTTATTCTATCTAACACATGTAGAATTGACCTTATGGTCATTAAATATATATAGTCAACATCTTATTTGTTTGAAATAAATATAATTCTTAATATCTATACATTACATGTCCATATGATTATGTGATAAAATAGCATAAAACTATTTCTTCATAGGCTATTAGGCTTTTTATCTCAATTCATTCTACATAATTCTACATCTGAATATTACCATCTTTCAATCTGGGCAAAACCAATCAAATTTTTTTTTTTGTAAAAATTGCAAAATAAGTGCAGACTGAATGGTGAACAGTGAAGACACATGATGATGATGATGATCAAAAAGGTGTTTCAAATATTCCTTCTTTCCAGGGGACAAACCCATTGACGTTGGAATATATGTGGGGTTAAAAAACTTAATTCAAAATATTCCCCGCTATAATCCCTGCACTTAACCCTAGCTGCTGCAGTGGGACGGCCCAATGCCTTTCCTGCATAGCATTAGGACTTTCCTCAACATACCACCAATAAAAAGACCAGTGAAATCACATTACATAATGTGTTGTACAAGGAAAAATTACAAATGTTTACAAACTTTACAGTAAAAAAAAAAAACATTTTTATTTCACAATGACCTTTGTTATTTAATTTAGCAAAGTCTGCCCTCAGGCTAGACAAACAGTATGATAATCGTGAAACATTCATGATTAAAATAACACTTATTTTGTATTTTCTGTAAAAGTTCAGATCTGCATTATAATGCCAATCTTTATTTTCTATGATATAAGAAATTTCAAGTCACTGAAATCTTTTCTTCTAATAAAAAACAACAAATCAATTATACAAACAAATAAAAAAAAACTGAAAACAGGCTAAAAAAACAGGTACATGACCTTGTTTCAGATACTTAATCGTTTTTATTGATTAACACATCCACTCTTTTTTTTCTTGAAAATTGTGAGTTAAAGAAATCCATTAGTGTTGTTCCCGGAAAATAAGCATTATGTTACCAGGGCAAACATTTCCTTATTCTCACCATGTCAGTTTTATTCCTCCTCTGATCAATAAGAAAACTAACATATCTGGACAAACAGAATATATAATTATCTTAACTGGCTTTAAACAATGGTGTAATAGATAATAAGACACCTACTTATGGAGCAAATTACCTAATCCCACCAACAGAAAATAGCAAACAATTTAACTTTTGGTAACAGGCCTGGGAAAGCTGCCTGGACAGTCATTGGTAAAAGCCCCTGCACAGTGCAAGTTGGAAATATCCCCTGAAGTTGATGTATAAACAAAATTTTTTGCTAAGACATTGCAGTGGGGGTACAGAAAAGAATATATTGACCTTCAGGAGGGACAGTAATGGTTTTAGTGTTCACACAGTGTATATCTGTAATGCTAGAATTGCAACAATAGTGACACTGAATAATTGCGATTTATCACCATTGGAAAGGTAAAAGAGTTAGCATCTATGGCTGCTAATGATTTTTTTTAACCCACATGACAAATATTTCCAGAAAATGTTTGTTTTTCAACTTATTCAAGAGAATGACATTAAACCTTGCAGCCATATGGAGGACATACAACTTTTATCATCATAATGAAATATGTGATATTTATACTGTTTCATTTTACTGATATAATTATTTTACAGAAAAACAAACTTTTTCATTTATATTACACCTTCTTTCAAGACTTACAAACAATTGTGTTAAGCTTTGAATTTACTTTTTCTGAAAGACATGTAGTATTATATCAGTGTATTATGTCTTGTTATTCTCCCTTAATGGTTTCCTTGACATTAAATCAACTTGAGTGGAAACTTCCATTATTAAATTCTAAAATTCTATATCACAATGGAAACATATTCAAGGCTGCGGAAAGCAAAAATATTTATCACAACTCCATCCCTATTCGAACCTTTAAATTTCATCAAAGACAATTAATGTGACAAAAATATTTCTCAATTTACAATGCAATATAAGTTTTTATCCTAATTTTGCCGGTTAACCCAGCACAATATAGCCTACCCTAGAGGAGAAAATCATTTCAGGTTCTATCAATTTCCAACTTTTCATCTTCTGACATCCCTGATAATAGATTGTTGAAACATCATAAAGCCTCACAATTAAGTCCATCATAAAAAGGTTGGGACATCTTTAAGTTCAACTACCAGCTGGCAATAATTTGGCAACAATTTTCATATATGATTATGTTTGGAAATTTATCTGAATTGAAGAAAAATACATAAATCACATAGACATTCCTAATACAAGAGGTCTGTATTAGACCAGCCTCCACTTCATTCCCTAGATAAATTGAGAATAGGTTGATTCATTACATTATGACAATAATACATCATACCATAGATAGATATGAGCTTGAATTGATTCATTGTTACAATATTAAAACACAACATTCCTAGTAATCCTGAACAGACCCCCCCCCCCCTTCCCGCCCATTTCGCCCCCTCCCCTCACACATTTATATAATAATATGTCATGAATTACAAGAAAAAACTTAAATTTATCTGGAGTAATGGACGGTCACCTTCATCTTGACCTTTGATACAATATATCTGCTAACAACATTTAAGTAATCACTGTGAGAAAGTATATAAAACACCCTGCAAGCATGTGATTGAAAATTTTCCAAATGTCATCATGTTATAGTAATGTTGCAACCTTGACTTTAACTCTACTGTGCTGTACATTTTCTCAGCCCTTTTTTCCCCCTTATTTTTTTACTTTTCAGGCAAATTGAAGCATTCCCAGTGCCTAAACATTTGGGTTTTTTTTTCCCCAAATTCAGAAGCATCAAATTCCCAATAAACAAGTCTGCATTTTCATTAACTAACAAATTGTTACAAAAAAATTTCTGTCAATAAAAAACTATTCCTTTATTCAAATAAGTTTTCTTTAGTTTCTATTGGTTACTGTAAAATTCCTATTTCTTTTTTTCCTTTTTCAAAAATACAGTACACAATAAAATATAAGACAATCAACTGTCAAAATCATACATCAAATAATTTCTTCAGACAAAATGTTTAATCTAACAAACAGCACTGAGCAAATAGGACTGTCATAGATAAAAATTGTTGTATTGATATGTACATCAAGTATTAAAACAATGCAACAAACTATATAATCCAATCAAATGTGAAATGTATTAAATACAATGTAGAAAAGATCATAAAAAATATCATATCTAATATTGGATATGTTTGGTTTTTTTGGGTTGTTTTTTTTTTAAACAAGGTGTCAAAGTCCTCTTTGAATAAACAACATTACACAATATAAGCAGTAAAGGCTGCTTACTTTGCACAGGCGAAAGAGAATTTTAATTAACAGCAAATAGAAGCAAAAATTCATGTTAATTTATATTAAGTTTACTTATTGCATAAATGAAAGATTATTAATTAAATTGATATGTTAAATTGCTAATCATAATCATATCTATACCAATGAGACCTGACAATACATTGATATTTTGACTTTCACTGACTGGACAATCTAAGAACATTTCCACCTTCTTTTGGAAAAAGTTATTGCTTTAATGAGGAAAAATTTATGTGGGATTCTGGGAAATTTTAGTAATTAATTAAGTTAAAAAACTTTATGACTCTCAAGTTTTATTCATGTTAATTGTCATATCACCTGTAAACACTTCAACACAGTTCAATTTTTTTCAATAACCTGATGAAGGATATATCTTACCCGAAACCGGTAGTGATATTAAATATATAAACCGACCTGGTGTTTTTGATGTGTTGTTCCCCTCTCCCAATCTTTTAATCTAAAACTTGAAATAGTTTGATTTTTTTCCCCACTGTTTGGAGGATTTTAAAAATGAGAGGCTATTTTGTATTGGGAATAGGACCTGTAATATACCCTACACGTATGTATACCTTACCTTCTTTAAATGAAGGGTATAATGATATTCATGCATTTAAATGAAATATTCCTCTCAGTCAGTCACTCTGACATACAGCATACTAAGTCTAAGTGAAATTCTTAAACATTTTTGGTTCAATATTACGCACCATGTTGAATGTCCATGTTGAATGTCCGTGCTGTTCATACAAAACATACTGCCAAACCTTAACGAAAAAAGGCAACTTCTGTCAAATTCAGCATAATGGTTTAAAACTTGTAACTATTGTGTTACAGTACATGTATAATCTAAACAATACTCACTTGCTGTTAGCCGGCTGGGTGCTGATACTTAAAGTAATTGGTGTGGTCAGGTTTGAGATAGGAATCTGTTGTGACAGTACGGCCGACGTTATTGGTGACAATTGTTGCGGAACATCATCATAGCCCGATGATGGTACAGTTGATGTGACTATTGACATTTCCATGAAATCTACGATATCGATACAACTACTGCTTTTAGATACCCTGGCGCATTTCTAGCTTCCGATACAGACAATCTGAAATATTACAATTCTCAGGTTAAAAGACTAATTAAGTACATAGAGCTTTGAAAATGATGAAGTACATATACTGGTTATAAGAATAATGTTGCCTACATTTACAATTGTATGACACTATTTTTTTTCCGACGTCTACAAATTTATACTCAGTATTTTACTTCATATCACATACATTATTGCATATCATATTCCATCACCTTCCATTAAAGTTCACAGCTTTTTATGTATGACAATAGCATCATATAACAAAGACATGAAAAAGCATTTCATTAAAATTTATTTCCTGTTCTGATTCAGACAAAATTATATAGCTTTGGATTTAAACTATTTGTCAACATGATGATTATAGAACCACAGTATTTGAACAAATCTACTTCCTGTTATCACCAGAAAGTTTCAAGCTGAAATATATAGGCTCCAAACATGGGACCCGGGTGCAGTGATCGGAAGTAACACATGATTGAAATTGCAAGACAGGGTACACAAAAGAATTCTTTAGGCCCGCAAGACAGCCTGGGTACAGTGATTTCCTTTACATGTATATACTGTGAAAACTGCAAGGACTTACAGGGTTTGAGGTTTTTGTTGTTGTTTTTTTCTCAATATTTCTGCAGCATGACCCATACCTTAGGGATTGGGAATTTTGGGCAAAATTTGTCACTTGAAGTTTAGAAACATTCTGTAATCACAGCTGAAACAAATGTCTTTACTGATTTTACAACAAGAAACACTTTTAGTACCAATTCTATGTTTTTAACGAGAATTTTAATAAAAAGATACCATTTTCCAGTAAGAATATAACCACATTTATGGTATCTCATTTATAACCCTAGCCCAGCTAAGTAAAAAAAAATGCTTCAAATTCTATACCTGTAACTAAGTTACTAACATTTATGCACTTAATTAAGCATGCCTACTATATAAATCACTTTAATTATATGACTAGAAAAAGTGTTAAAACCATGGCATTTGTAATTAATAAGAAACCATCCGAGATAAAACCCCATTTTACTTTTATTATAAATGCTAATTATTTGACCATCTCAAAACAGCAAATGAAAAATTAATAACTGTTTAATACAATTTTTCCAATGTGATGTATACAAATCATCATTCGGCCTATCTCCTAGATTTAATTTTATGCGGCTGTCAGTTAAACTTAACTGTACAAAGTGGACAGTAAAACAAATGAGAATTTAATTTCTCATTTGACAGACAAGTATTTTCATCAACGTTTACCAATGAGTTACGGCATTTCTTGTAATCACATGGTCGCATAAAATATAAATATGCACACTTTAACCTTTTGAGCGTATTTAAAGGAACAGAATGTGACTAGTATCATTCTGACATGGGTTCTATATAGATGTTTGATCAATCTAAGAGGACAAAAGTGTAAATCCCCGAACAAACCATGGCCAGTTTTTTAAAAAAGAACTGAGTATGTCCAAGCATTATGTGCCGGAAGTACATGTGTATGTCATAATGTGCTGTAAGACTTATAATGTTAAAATGTCTTCTGACTCAATTGAAAAAGAAAAGAAAACAACCAGAACCAAGAGCCACCAGTGACCTCTTAGCATGTGCCACACTTGACATTATTATTTCTAAAGTTAGACACATCTGAGAAAGAATAACGTAATAAAATATTACTCCTAAAATACTTTATTTTCTTGTTACAAAATATAACTCAAAGTTCTTATTTGACATTGATGCTCAAGGTCATCCAAAAGTTGAGGTCACATTTGAATTAATCATCATGTTCTTTGTCATAGAATACATGAAAATCAAATCAATAAATAATATACATGTACTAATAATATATAAGAAAGTCACTAGCAACACTTGATGCTGACATTTACCATCTTATAAACATGTGAATTTTCATTATACCATTTTGAGAATACGGTTTCAGACATGGATGCGCAGTATTACCAGTAAACCTGTTACTGTCAGTGTGGTAAAATGACCCATAATTCATGATTAATATTTTTAATAAATTCAGTTTTGTTGACAATTTAAGGTCATTGTCATCAAACAATATATAGCTGGACAACACAAAGGTAAGACTAGGGTGGAATATTATACTGGTTAGGGACCATCAACTGGACAATCTGTGAACATTTTTCCTTACAAATTTCATGTTAGAGCAGGTAACCTAACAAGTACATATATGTTCTTCACCAAACTAACGGAACAGTTTGCTTATTTCTGATTATGTTGACAATCTTATGTGATGCCCATGATGGGGAGTAAATTGTTTTCACTACAGGAAGAAATATGCCTTTATTATTGATAAAAAGCAACTGATTGATCAACAACCACTGAACAAAGACATAGATGCCAAAACGTCTCAGAAGTCAGGGTTTCTTCCAGAAATCAAGTGACTGCCATGGAGACATCCCCTGGCCAGGAATGATTTAATAAAAAGAAATCTCAAGTAAGTATGAATTATTCTAGCATGCAAATATCATTGTCCCCAGTATAGTAATACACAGGAATTGATGACTCTAATCCTTTAATTGGTAAATCTATGTGGCCCCTTCAAACAAACAATTATCAGCAATGCTTTAGATCAATTAAAAGATTAATTGTTTACCCCTTGTGGCTTGCTGGGTGAAGGTGTCAACAACTGTAATTAAAAACTAGCCAGCATATATTGACTCCACATTAAAGCACTGACTGACTTCAATTAGAGCTTGTGTACCATGAAAATCACTGCTTAAATAACATGATGTAATCAAGTCTTCAGTAATCTGCAAAAGTTTTAGCTATTTCAACCAAAACCTCTGGCAAATTGTCCATGCTTAAAAAATAGCATTTTCTTATTCATGACTTACTGAATTTATAGATCTAATTTAATTACTTTACAAAAAAAGATAGAAAAATGCCGATATTTTTAGTATCTTGTCCGTTTTAAGTTATTGTAATATTTGCAAGTTGTAATTATATTGATTGATAATCAAGGTTATATGCCACTAGTCATGCTAGTTATGCAAATTTACGAAACAATTAGCATGCTGATCTCCAGGAAAAAGTGACCGGAAAAGCAGTCTAGAAATAATGGCATGTATTACAAGGAAAAACAAGTGTTTTGGGGGCTGTCTGGTTTTGGTGGTTTCCAACCCGTACCATTGATATAAATTATCAGAGTATTTTGTAAATACATACATGTACTCTGGCTCTACTTTCTGAACAAGGACAACGTAATTTCATTTTTCCATTCCAGATTTGATCAGCACCGCTGCACAGTAAAAAAAACTGATCAACATCTGTAAAAAGTACTGATGTTGTGAATATATCCTTAAGTCTTAACATATTTATCACTCAGCAGATGCCTACATGTAGCTAGATATTTGCACTGAGATATTTTTTAACAATGACAATGTCAAAATTACAGGTAATCAAGCACAAATTTCTGTTTTACTGTTCAGTTTTGAACATGCCTAATTTTGTTTGTGGTAAATTTACAGAGAATAACCACTTTATTATCAGATTATGGTCAGTTGTTATGCCAATGTGTTAACATGTTAGAAATGTAGGCCTACTTGTTCCACATTTGGTCATACGTAAAATAATTTCAAAAGTAGATATCTACATTATCTTGTATTTTCTTAACTATTCAGCAATACAATGATTTTAATTACCTACCGGGGGCAGATAACGACTTAATCTGTTTACGAAAACATAATTAGATCTATGACTATATAAATCTACATATATAAGTTCACTCTGACAGCGAAAACATTTGAGAGAGAAAAAAAAAACAATTTGTTTTTTATTATTTACGCAATTTTTTAAAATATGTCAACATTTGCATCAATGCGACAAAGATTTGCTTGTTCAAAAGCACAAAAGATATATAAGTTTTTCCTCACCTGGTAGGGTATTGTCAGCAAATAAGTTGAAAATAATCCTAAACGTACATGCGTTTACAAAATGGATACACAACGTAACATCCGGGCACTTCTATTCTCATTTAGGTCAAGGTCGATAATATGTGATCAGCGCATGTCACTGTGCATTTTTACAAACATCAGGTATTACATAGCAATATTTTGAAAAAAGACTATATCATCTTTGCAAAACAATACAAAAATGTCGTTTTAACTGCATTTAGTCCGCAAATAAGTGATATTAAAGGAAATAGCTTGACCTAGATAGTACCACAAAATATGGAAGTCCAAATTCGTCAAAATTATCTAACAGAACGTTCAATTATCTTTGCATTATTTGCATTATATGTAGTTTTAAACACAAGTTTTGCTAGTTCTGTCAATTCTATGGAATGAAAGGTAAACTATATATAAAAATATACTATAAATTAAGAGAAGGCCGGAAACTCCAGATTCCAGTTTACGAGCAAGGGGTTCATTTGTTCATTTCATAAATTTTAAAGCAGTAAAGCAACATTTAATACCTTTTCGCACGGCGTTAATAAAATTATCCCAAAAATATTCACACTCAAACATATGGTGCTTATAAGCAAAAGTTGCATGAGGAGTATACATTGAATAAAAACAGCACTTGTAGTCCTTTGACAAATAGAGGATTTTTGTTCGTTTTTAGTGGATAGTGAATAGGAATGTATATCTTAGAAGTTTTTTTGCAACAGAGCGCATTTAGCGTGAGTGTATGGACATTTATTTCACACCTTATCAAATATTACCAAAGCACTTTTAGCATTTGCACCACGCAAAAATCATAATTGGATCAACTCATCATTTAAGCCTCGTTTTCATATTCAGAATCCAAAACGTCCATATCAAATCCCACCCCATATAGATTCGTTTTCATTTTTAAAGTCCCAATTTTCTGTATCAAATGCATATCGTACCCATCTAGCCTCGTTTTCATTTGTAGACTCCAATATCTATAAGATTTATCAAATTCTTATTGTATTTGAGGTAATAAAGTTTTGTCAAAAATATGTGTGAAATAAAGTCTTTTAACATGGTTTGAAGAATACTGAATCTGTTGGCCTCGTATACAGCTGCAAAACCTATATCAGACTTATATTTCAGTTGCACTCAACAGTGTATAATAACCTCTAAGTATTAGTTTAATAATAATATCTGTCATATGTTGCGGTTCGGACCGGAATATCCGTCCCGAGGGGACCCGCCCATTGGGCGGTAACGAGGCTTGCCGAGTTACCGCCCATGGGCGGGTTCCCGAGGGACGGATATTTCGGTCCGAACCGCAAACATATGTTAGATATTTTTTCTTGCATATTCTGCCATATTATTTCATATTTAAAATGGTTTACATCATTATGATATATGTTTATAGAAATTAAAGTCATTTCATCCATAACTATTTTCTTACAATAGCGTATGAACTTACAATTTAAATAACAACGGCGAAATGACGTCATCCTAAGCACATATTTCCCTTCTAAAACGACGTCATTTTAACGCGGTTCATTCATAAAGTGCGCTAAAATGACGTTGTTGTTTGGCACGCGACTCATCTGGCACCCCCCATGCCAGATGAAATTTCCGGCATGGGTAAAACTCACGGAAACGCCAGTCTTCTATGCAAGAATGTATGGTCCTTGCCATCTGTACATGTATTTTCTTTCCATACTAACTAAAAACAAAACACAAAAATTGCGTCTCAATCTATTTTTCTTTAATCTAGACAAGTTACCAAAAATTAACGCCAAATAACGTAAGTTTGATAGATTTGATGTCATGCAAATCTTTATCTCTTATGTGTTCATCTTTGGATGGTATATTCCTGAAAGAACGGGAGCTAAAATTCTTTCATGCATATTCAGGATTTTCTAGTATCCATGTATGCACCGGTGCTAAAATCTCGTGTAAGACAAGACGATGTTTTCCGGTGTCTTTAATGAACGAATTTACGTGTTATGGATAACATCATGTCGGATCATTTCGCAATAATGAATGAAGACAAGTCGTAAGTTCTTCATTCACTTCTGCATTGCTTTTGTTTTAGTTACTAGTATATGTACATTAAATCGCGCGCAGAATTTTTGCTGTTAGTCTAAATTGGAATTAATATTCTCTAAGTTTGGACATGATGCATTTATAAATGCTTTGAAACAAATGGGATTCGTCGGATAATGCTTTTCTTAATGAAATATCGAAATATATTAATTTTCACTGAGCTACACGTCACGTGTTGTTGTACAGGACTTAATTACGCCTGAACCACTCCTACTAAAACAGTGGCTCTTACATTTTGTTGATCTGTTTCATTAAGACAATAAGAGTCCTGAGAAAGGTAAACACAATTTATATATGCTTAAGCAAGGTGAATTGAACGCATTTAGGGGCCAAAGCAAATCCAACGATGACAGGGACCGGAAGAATGTAAAAACAGTACTGTTTGAAGACACATTTTGCCCCCAGAAACAAATCCATTTTTCCTTCTTAAGAAAGGGTAAACATGAGTTTTATAACATTAAAGTAGCGCTCAGTGTGAAATTATTTGTTATAAAAGTAGCAAAATGTAAACAAAAGTAGTCTTCCTTACAAAATACTAAATCACTGTAACTGTACTAATAGCTAAGATATAGCTAAGACCACAACTGAAGAAGCAAAATATGGTTCAGGTAATTTGCTAATGAGTAGCTTTTGGAACCTCTAATATGACATAAAAAATCTTTAGAGAAATAAAAATAAAGTCATTTTGGGGCATAATGGACCTTTAAACCCAACACGTGAGAGAGAGAATACAATTAAACAAGCGGCAGAACTTGAAGAAGAGGTTGCACACCTAGTTCAAGCGAGCGAAATAGTTGCCAGTTCGACAAAATGGTTACCGAGTTATGGATATTATTACGATCGCACGTATTTTCTCCAGGTAAGTGGTAGTGTGTTATTTTAAAATTTTTGAGTGCCCATTCATTCAGGCAATGATTATGGCACACTCTGTTTTAAGTTTCAGCTTCCAAGCTGAATATCAGATGCATTTTTTAAGTGTGACGTAGCCCAAAATAAAAAAAAACTGCTGACATGCATACATTTATTTTACTGTTTTTGCCGAACAGCATCGGAAACTGTTTTTCGTAACGCCACATAGTCCTTGTGTTGCAATGTTCATGGTGATTAATTATGCAGTTTTACATAAGTATACTTTCATTTCGGATTTATGCTAGTCTGCCTATTGCAACTTCAGTTAAGCTATTTGATAATTTCACGTTAAATAGAAACATGCAACACGCGTAGTATGGATGTAAAACAGGAAAAATAATAAAATATATGAGTCGCGTCAAGACAAAACCAACATAGTGCGTTTGCGACCAGCATGGATCCAGACCAGCCTGTGCATCCGCGCAGTCTGATCAGGATCCATGCTGTTCGCTTACCAACTCTATTACAAGTAGATAAACTGATAGCGAACAGCACGGATCCTGATCAGACTGTGCGGATGCGCAGGCTGGTCTGGATCCATGCTGGTCGCAAACGCACTATGTTGGTTCTGTCGTGACGCGGCTCATATAAAAGGCGGAGTAACGTTCACAGAATGCAGTCCTGACAAAACCCAGTCACAGTGGGACACCGCAAAGGCACCGACTAGGACAGGAGCGGGCAAAAAAGGCGGGACATGAAGTGGTCGTACCAACAAACGATAACAATTATGAGGATACATCGTAAAATGTCAAAATGGTAAAAGCAAAAAAGTAACACAATTGTATAAAATTTTCAGAGAAATATCTGTGACTAATAAATATGATCTTCGTTGGATTTCTTTTTGAAGTTTTATATTTGACTAAAAATAGTAGGAATAAGTGTTGCAAAGGCTAAGCAATACTTACTCGTCGGGATACAATTGGGACACATCGACGATTATTCATAATCATCTCCGAGTTAAAACGGATTGAAAATAGTTCTACCACGTGACCTTTGATATATATAAAAAAACAGACGGTGTAGTCTTTGTATAATAAGTAACGAATGTATTTATTTAACATCTTCTATTTAGATTGAAAAATGTGTCCGACAACTAGAATCAGTTTTAAAATACACATTGACATTTACATATAACAATATGTAAAATAATGTCAACAGTTATATAATGGGGTAAAGTTACCAACCTTCAGCTTTGCTTACTGCATGTATTTGGGGTTTGAAACCATATCCGTTCTGTGTAGCTATACTATCATGCGAAACAAGTCGAACGTACATCTGCGCGATGAAATAACCATTTGGAAAAACTTTATGGATATCCTAAAATACGGTTCAAGACAAAGAGAAAACACAAATTCCAGCTCAAATATATACCAAGACGTCTGAAGGAGCATTTCACATAAGAATGTCTCAAGCCAATCAAAAGATATAGTGCAGACACAGACCTTTAATCTTGCACGTCAACATCTGAAATATGGGTTGAACACTTTTTTGCATTGTTTCATTGAGGAAAAACATTTGACCAAAGTATGTCACAAGTGGTTAAAGATACAGAGTTTGCAATACAAATCATTGCTGACTCAAACTATTTCCACGGCCTCACTACACAACTCCACCATTTTGAACAATTCTCAAAGAAAATCGACCCATGGTACGAGCATACGGGTATCTGGTCTTCATTCTTGAACCCAAACGATTGCTGTCCATGCTTACTCATTGCCATATAGCAAATTCATGTACTTCTGAGAAGTTATGTGACCTCGACATTAAAGCGAAGGTTCCTGCATATTCAAACATTTGACTCAACTATAAATATCACTTTCATCATTACAGCGGAGGTAACAATACAAGTTACCCAAATCCTGGGTGATGAACATTTGATCCAGGTATCACAAATATGCCTAAATCCAGCGATTCAAGAGTTGACCAAAAGAAGCTGAACAATATAATTTTTCCTTAAATGTGACATCGACTTTGAAGTGGGGCACATAAAATGTGATTTTATTTGTTGCCCTATCACGAGTCCTTTAATAGTTGGGGTAACTGGATACTTATAAGCTGACTACCTGAAATAATTGATTATGCACCACCAAAGTATCATTCGATACAAAATATAAAGCCTACACCGATTTTAATCGTTACAAAAATGATGTCCGACAATATAATGTTCTTCATCTCGAAGCAAACATTTGCCTTACACATAAAAAAATGTTCAAGACAAAGAACGGACTGTGATTTCAAAGATGTGCATCCAAAATCTGGGTTCTGTCCGTTGCCTCAAAGAGATAAACTTCGACTCGATTTAAACTAGAGCTGCCACAGGAGTGGCAAACACCCTCAATCTGATCTCTATGACAATTATGTAATGCAATTTATCATTGCATGTGTATATTTGAAATTCACTGAAAAGTAAAGAATTTTTAGTGTAGACATATACAAAATGTTTGAATTTTGAGCTTCAAGGGTGACGTCGGCTCAGGACCCGTGTTCACAAAGAAAAGATCAGGATCAGGACCAAGTGATCCTATTTTATTTTCATTGTATTATAGAACTAAAACTTATCGTATTTTGCTAGAAATTCGAAATGAAACAAAATGCTGATTTGCAAAGAAACCAACATATTTTTGGATAAAATCAAAGAATAACAGAACAAAAACAAAAATAATCGGATCAAAGTAAGGATCAAGATCAATTTTTGGATCAACTGTAAAATGCCCGTATCTTGCAAAAATAATAAATTTATTCTAAAATTTCATAAAAATGCTACTTCAAGTCCAGTTTCATCAAGTATAAATTCAAATATCTAAATCTATACTTATTAACAATAGAGAATATTTTCGTTTTTAAATTGGATCCTGATCTTGATCCTTAAATCTTTGTGAACACGGGACCAGGAGTCTGGGCAAGTTTTAGGGGCATTATGATTTATAGAACTGACAAGTGTCTGATCTTTGACCGTGAAGGGTGACCTTGACCATGCAAAGAGGCGGCAAGGGTAATTCGCAAACCACCTTTTTCAGAGATTTATATTACAGCAGAGATCAAAGAATTCTTGAAGGGGTATATATGGAGACAACAAAATGGTCTGATAGACGACCTTCAAGGAGACATTTACATCAATTTGGCACTTGGGTCGCATAGTTTTTATAATTATTTCACATTACTTGTCCCTCTCTTTTCACCGCCCTTATGTCCACTCCCGGTTTTGGTTTGGTGCCTTCTGGGTGCCCAGCTCTGGTAGTTTGGGTGTGTCAGGAGCTGCGTCCTGGGAACGTTACCTTTGCCTTGTGGATCTTCATTCTCGCTTTCCTTTTGCACATTGCCTCGTCAAAGTGACAATTTTAGCAAAGTTTGAGGGGCAAGCGGACGAAAAATTTATTTGACCCCAAAGCTTGACCTCGACCTGGAACAGATCTGCACATAGGCTTGTCTAGGTGAACATTTAAAGCAGACACGATGGCGACGTACTGACGCTTGAGTGGTTCCCGTATTGAGAAATGGCAAATCCACATCATGTGAATGTGGGTATGATTAAAATCCTTTCAGGAAAATCAGGTGATAAAAAGAACAAGAGAGGGCCCTGGATCGCTCACCTGAGAAATAGGTCTAAAGGTCAAAGTGGAGCCCCATTTCACCCCAGAAGCACAATTTGAAAACAAGGGACGGCTTAATCTGAACAATATTGTGTACTGCCATCAAAGGGAATTTTTGTGTAAATTTATTTCAAAATTGAACCAGTGGTTTAGATGTTGTTGTTTTTTAATTTTAGCTGTGGCCACCATTTTATTTTAAACAGTTCAGTTTGTCACTAATTGAGAGGTGAGCTAATAAAAAGATAACATAACAAGAGGGCCATGATGGCCCTGAGGTCGCTCACCTGTATATAGGCCCCCCCGGAGCGGGGCCAGTTTAAACCCCAGGGCTTGTATTTGAACAAACTTGGAAGTCACCAATTAGAAGATGTTTCATGATGTTAAGTTTTTACTACACACATATAATGAAAAACAATGACCTTCCACTCCACCCCCCTTTCCCCCCCCCCCCCGGCAGGGCCAATTTTAACCCAAGGGTTAAACTTGGTAGACACCCATAAGAAGAAGTTTCATGCTAAACATCTAAGCTCTAGCTCATTGGTTTTTTTAAAAGAAGAATTTTTAAGTTTTTACTATACACATAATTAGTTAAAAACTATGACACCCCTGGAGCGGGGCCAGTTTTGACCCCAGGGCTTTTATTTGAACAGACTTTGTAGACACTTACTAGAAGATGTCTCATGTTTAATATCTTAACTTTAGCTATTTGGATTTTTTCAAAGAAGATTTTTAAGTTTTTGCTATACACATATAAGGAAAATCAATGACTCCCGGGGCGGGGCCAATTTTGACCCCAGGGCTTTTATTTGAACAAACTTGGTTGACATCCATTAGAAGATATTTCATGCTAAATATCTAAGCTCTAGCTATTTGGGTTTTTTAATAGAAGATATTTTAAGTTTTTTCTATCGGTTGCTATGGCAACCAGAGTTCTGCATGGAATTAAATTCTTTTGAACAATTTTTAAAGGTGACCACCAAAGGAACATTCCTGTGAAGTTTGGCTGAAATGGGCTTAGTGGTTTATGAGGAGATGTCATTTAAAGTAAAAGTTTACGGATGGACGCCAGACGAAAAGCGATCACAAAAGCTCACCCTGTCACTTTGTGACAGGTGAGCTAAAAAATGAAGGAAAACAAATAATGACTGGGTCAACCTCGATTCCCCTGGGCGGGTTAATTTTGAACCTAGGGGTTTTATTTCACCAAACATGGTAGACATACATTTGAACATGTTTCATCTCTACCTCTTTTGGATTTTCACAAAAAGATTTTTTAAGTTTTTACTATATACATATATATATAACAAAAATAAATGACCCCTTCTGGTGGGGTCAATTTTGACCCTAGGGAATTTATTTGAACAAACTTGGTAGACATTCACTAGATGTTTCATGCAAAATATCTTATCTATAGTGCTTTTGGATTTTCACAAGATTTTAAAAAAAAATACAATATACATATAAAATCAATGGAGCCCTGGGGCTAGGCCAATTTTGACTCTAAGGCTTTCATTTGAACAAACTTGATAGACATACATTAGAACATGTTCAATGCTAAATATCTTAGCTCTAGCTCGTGGATTTTCACATGAACTTTTTACTATATAAACAGTAAAGTAACATGTATATATATGTATAAGGAAAATCAATGAATTTTGACCCTAATGCTTTTATTTGAGCAAACTTGGAAGACATCCACTAGAAGATGTCTCATGCTCTTAGATTTTCACAACTTTTTCTTTAGTTTTTACTATATACATATAGGGAAATAAAAATAACCCCTAGAGCCGTCAATTTTGACCCTAGGGCATTTATTTGGACAAACTTGGTAGACATCTTCTAGAACATGTTTCATGCCAAATATCTAAGCTCTAGTCTTGTTTTTTTTTACAAGAAGGTTTTTGTAAAAAAATCTTTTGGTTGCCATTGCAAACATGGAAACAACTTTGGTAGAGCTTCATGCAAGGAACATCCCTGCGAAGTTTGAACAAATTTGGACAAGTGGTTTAGGAGGAGAAGTTGTTTAAAGAAATTGTTGACGCACGGATGATGGACAACGGGCCATCACAAAAGCTCACCTTGAGGACATTGTCCTCAGGTGAGCTAAAAACCTACCAGTAAGCTTTTGTTAAAAATTACTCCAACAATATTCACCCCAATGAAAAAACACAAAACAGAAAATGAAACACTTGGTATTTACTGACCAAATATCAAAATAAAGATATTTCTTAAAGCAAACAAATTTTCCCCTGATCTGTCCAGACAGGACAATGCTAATTGGCATACATTTTCGGAGCAATCATCAAGCCGATTGAAGTTAATTAAATTACATAAAGTTGTACAAGTACATAAAGTTGTAAAAGTACTTATCAACGAAAAAACAAGTCAGTATATTTATTTTTTGGTCTTGGGTTTTATTTTATAATATTTTTTACAAGAAAATTCTTTCCATACAAAGAAATTTTTCCCATAATTTTACAAAAAGTTATTATCAAGTAGTTGACAGAAACGTTTATATACCTATAAACAAACTTATATCATTTATAAATACATTTTCATAAATTCTTTAAAAATACATTTTGTATACAAAATTTAATAGAAATAGCAGAAATTAAGAATCTATATTGTTCAAAAATTGTTCATTTCATATTTATTTTCAACCAACACATGATTTAGTTGAATTTTGGAAGCCTTAACATCAAAATTAATAATAATTGAAATGTAGAATTGCTTAAAAAATTTCCATCATGACTTTTTTGTTAGTTAATTTCTATCAAATTGTTTATCAAGTGCTTGGCATAGTTACAATTCATATGGTTTCAACACTTTTAAATATAATTCACAAACACTGAACACATTTCATTTTCTTAAGAACACTATGGTGGATCAGAATAATTATATACAGAATATGAACACATTGTCCCTTGAACACATCTTTAGTCTTAAACATCAGATTTTGAAAACATAGACCTTTGAGTTTAACCTTGTAAAACAATAGTTTAAACACACGCAAGTCCTTAACATAATATTGTATATACAATTTAGTCCCTTAACAAGTGGAATAGCTACATGACCTTCACCTTATGACCTAAGAGCATAACTTCAGATCTATATATGATTATGATTCAGTTTGAACTTTGACTCTTAATATAGTTATCAAAACTACGATCAGAATTAAAAAATTCATTTTATGCTGCATGCATATTTTTTATATTTGTTAATCATTTATGCACTGAAATAAAGTCTTCTCATCATAACTCTTGTTATTATTAAAGAAATAGCACATTTAATATTCAAAAAGTTTTGGTTTTTGTTGTTGTTTTTTTTAAAACATTTTTGTTTCTTCTTTCCAATTTCTAAAGCAATGGCATGAATTTAGCACTTTTTATTCTGCGATATATGCTCGTCTTCCTTGGTGCTACTTTACACATTTTGTATTATCATGTTGCGTTTAGAGTCATAGTTAAATCGGTTGGCCTTGAAAATGTCACTGTCGTAAAACGGTGTCAAGTTGTGAATGTTTATTTGTCTGGCCTGAAAATACAGAAAAGTCAAACATTTTTTATTGCTGTTTTTTTTGGTAGTGTTTCAGTTGCACAGATGTGTTTAAGGTCATATGGCGACTTTCCAACTTTATGGGGGAAGACCTCCATGTATTACTTCAAGAACAACCTTCCTCAATCTAGCTAGCTGGATAGCTTCCATTCATGACAGAATCTGTCCCTAGCAAGATGATGGCCAATTGATTTAAAACCTCCACCTTTTTCAATGTGTTCAACTGTTAGGTTTGAGCTTCATATAAGACTAGATCCAGTCATCACTTTGAGAAAAACCACAATAGAACCATTGATCTTCCGTAAGATATCTGGACAGCTTCATTTCATGAAACAATCCAGTTTAAAACCGCAGCATTACGGAAAAAATGGTTCAAAGTCATCTATCCTACCTAATCAGTCACTGAGGCCACAGTAAAACCAACAATCCTTAGCAATCTTGTGATGTAAACAGCCAATATTTTACACATAAATTGCACATGGGGTACAACCATCCAATCTTTAGCAAGTTAGTTTGTTTAACAGCAGATCAAAATAAATTACACATTTAGCCATCAAACTTCACTAAGATACAAAGATAAACCATTTAATAACCGCATATCCAAAATTAAGTTTGGCACAAGCATGTTCAGAATATACATACCTTGTCAGCGAGATCTTTACAAGAAATTTCAATGATTTCTTGTTCCTGTCCATACCGGTTTCTCTGGAAGGACATCTGGTCATTAGACAACTGTTTTAATATGAATAACAGCAACTCGTTGTTATCCTTTTTGAATGCTAGGTACCGACCGAATGTCTGAAAAGAAAGGACATGAATTTAAATATTAGCCTGGCTGCTGCAACTAATTCTACCTTTGCAGATCAAGATCAGCAAACACATCTATGCTGTCAGATCATGACTGTGTCTGCACTGTTCACTATAAGGCAAGGTCAATAAATATTTTAGAATCTTCCTAAAAATAATGGATTTGTCCAGATTGGGAAAAAGCAGTATTCAAACTTTAATCAGTCAAATGACCTTAAAGATCCTGTAACACATTTTTTTCATGGTTTCATTTCATAAATATGATGCTCAAATTAAGATGTGTCAATATTGTAAGTTCCAGTAAGCATTATTGATAAAGATATTACCCAATTTAACATTTCATGTAAATAAAGGGAGATAATTAGAAATTTATTTTCTATAAATTCTAAGTCAAATTTTCCAATAAGAAATGAATGCGTATAATTTATTGATTAAGGCCTCAACAGACGGTAGGATTTAGTTGTACAGCACTAATAAGAGATAAGATGTACAATTTTCAAAGCTATACATCACTTGCATTCAGACGGTAATTCTACACTGTAAGAATCATCAGAGGTATCCCTTAAAAAGGATCCCTTTACATTGATCCTTTACATACTTTACTCACTAAATACTTTTTTCGCCAGGAGTAATGATTGAAACACCTCCATTTAAATATATATATATATATATATATATATATATATATTTGAATGTGAAGCCTGACCGAGACTAAAACCTGGGACCCTCGAAATACCGTACTACGGCTCTGCTGACTAAGCTAGCTGGCAGCCTACAAACTACCTCCCCTCTCTTAATTAGAGAACAATTCAATACCGTGACATAATCATTTTCGGAATAATTTGGGATTCGAACATAACACAACTTTGGGTCTCCTCAAGAGTTTTTCAACATCATTTTTACCCCATCGTACTACTATGTTTACCTTTTAGCCCTAATTGTTCTGGAATTTCATTCATTACACCCATTATCAGGAGATAATTTGGTTATCTGTTACTTGTCATTGTGGGAGGTCTCTAAAAATCGGTACGACAAGATTTTCAAAATAGAACATGTCCTATCCCTTACATGTAGACATAAGGTTTCCAAAATCAAGAAATAGTAGCCTTCACACATTAAGATTTGTCTGTACATCTTAGTTTTAATTGGTGTTGTACTTCAAAATCCTACCGTCTGTTGAGGCCTTTAAATATAATGTGCACAAATATTTGCAGTACACATTTTACATATTCTTCGATGTTTGAAAATTGTTTTATTTGCATAATTATATACATATATAATTTTTTTCAAGTGTGGTATACACACAGTAACAATATCAATCACAAAACATACAGGATCTTTAAAACCTGAATCACGCAACCAAAGACACTTTACTCTCTCTTTGTTTTTCAGTAAAGGATAATTAAGATACTATAAATGAACATACCTTCCTCATGGTCCTCATAACGCTGAATTTCTGTGTACTGATGAAACTCTCCAACATGATTCTGATGGCCATGTTCACATCATCCTCATTCACGTAGTCTCGTAAGTGCATCTTCGCATTCGATTCTGCCATACGAATCATCGACTCTATGTGACGCACAGTAATCGGAATACTTCCAGTAGCCTTTAAATATATCAGTTAATTTGTAATCTATTGTTTAATCTTAAATACAAGTGAATGAGAAGCACAGCTACAAACGAAATACCGTGCTATTCAATATCACGTTTCAATACATTGCTACAGTTAATCTGTCCATATAAAAACATAAACAATTATTTTTCAAACAATAATATTTCAGCTGTTTTCCTGGATAACAACCAGTAATTACACTTATTCCGCAAAAGACTTCTGACCCCACATGATTTTTAAATCGGGACGAGAGAAAAATGACCACATGACTTGTTGCTTGTTATCAATTGTTATGGATGAATTTCAGCCAACCCTAGAGTGCAAATCCTAGAATGCACTCATTGTTAATAAGATATCAAAGTTGGTACCACTCTATACAGGTAATATTAAATAAGTAACAATCCCTGCTAGCATTGACTGGGATAACAACGTACCATAGACTCTCTTCTTAATTCTGCATACATTTTCGCCACTTTATCTTGATCCATTTTGTTCAACTTCGGATGTACCTTCTCCTTTGCATAAATGATGTACTTTTTCAGCAGATCTTGGGGTATTGGCTCAACGGTTGATGTTGTGTTTAAACTATTCTGTAAAATATAAATGTCATCTCAAGATCCATCATTGTACATTTTAAATGTTCCAAAATAAACATGTTATGTAAAATTACTTTCAACATTTTAATCAGAATTCATGGAGTTAAATCAATTAAAATATGTGTTCGATTTCATATCTATTAAACTATATATTCGATTTCATAAATTACATAAATGAAATATTGAAGTATTAATTAACAGGAATATTTTTCTATCTTTAGAACTTATTCTCTCCATCACAATATTATTACCCGGTATCTTCATATTTTCTATTAAATTTCTTGTGTCGGAAAACAGTGTCCGAACACTTCAAAATAGGGCATACAGAATAATGATAATTAAGGATACAAACCAGGTTTTCATCCATCTCTTCTTCAGTAGCATTTGGGTGATGTTTCATGTGGCTTCCTGTAACAAATCTCGCTAATCTTTCATCCTGAAAATTAACATGTTGACTTCAGTTATCAGTTCTCTTTCAGCCCTTTTTCCCAAAACTTGGGGAATAAAGCCTGTTTTTCTATTTTTAAATTTTTGGGGGGTGGGTGGGGGATGGGAGAGGGTTTACATCGCACAAACACAGTATAGGTAATGTGGCCACTTTCCAACTTTACTGCTTGAGGAACCTTCGGTATCCTTCCGTACATTATTTCAAGCACGAACTGGCACCCCGAGTAGAACCACTTAAGTTCTGTAACCTAGCTGGATAGCTTCCTCTTATAAAAGAATCACTGTTCCATAACCTAGTTGGATAGCTACTTTGTATGAAAGAAAACAAAATCTCCCTTTGGATTTGAACCCACAGTGGTGAGGTGCAGGTAGTTCTGAAGTCAACGACTTTTACCACTCAGCATCAAACACTGCTTCCTATCATAAGTTTATCAAGTTTCACTCACATGGCACTCTAGATGATCAATGAAATACTGTTTATACTCAATCAAATTAAAACCAAGAAACAAGTGATAGACTTATAAATCTTTATTTTTGGCAGAACTGGCTAAGAAACATCAGACCAAATGAATGATTATATGATAAATATAACTAAAACTGGAAATAAGACATAAAACATGTTAAAACCATTAAGTCTGGTGTAGTCCGAGCCAGTATGCCTCCTTCTTTTTTGGTATTGGCTTACGAGCCTAATCCCCATTAGAGGCATACTGACAAGATCTTAACCAGAAGGCATTGCTCTTCAAGAGAGGCGGGGATGGATGGTGGTGTAAAATTATTTTTCTAAATTAATGTGTGTGTGAACAAAGAGCGCTGTAGAAATCGAGAGCCTGCATACGTATTGCTGCTGATGCGGGTCCTACTTGGTTGATAAGGGAGCTAAATTTAGTCACGTGGTATTGGAAACCGGATATAGGTCAAGTACCGACGATGTAAACATCAAATTGAAAGTAGAATTAATTTAGATCTTGCATAAACTGTGTTTACTACGTAAACTTAAATTTTTACTCAATCAAATTAAAACCACGAAACAAGTGATAGACTTATAAATCTTTATTTTTGGCATAACTGGCTAAGAAACATCAGACCAAATGAATGATTATATGATAAATATAACTAAAACTGGAAATAAGACATAAAACATGTTAAAACCATTAAGTCTGGTGTAGTCCGAGCCAGTATGCCCTCTTCTTTCTTGGTATTGGCTTACGAGCCTAATCCCCAAAAGAACATGTATGATAACAAAGTGTTTGCAATCATCCAGTGTTTATTATCCATCTCATCCAACTTACAGCATTCATTTTCACCTTAATGAAATAAAACAATGAAGACAATTTCTTGCTCGAGGTAAAACTCCACTCCCTGCGAGACAACTAGAGATCAAGAAGTAAACATTCTACAGAAATGTTGTGTTACCTGCACGGGGTCCACTGTATCCCTAACAACACACAAGATATCAAATCTGGACAGGATAGGCTCCGTCAAATCAACCTGAGAGTAGAAATATCTAATAATGTTCATGGAAATCTGTTTACTGTAGAAAATACTGGACAATAATCATGAATACAGTTGTATGTACGAAACATAACAAAGTGCAAAATTTTGTGGTCTAATTAAAATTGTCCAAGAAAGAATATACACTATTTTGTCCACCAATTGTTCTATCTCATACATGTAGTTTCCCTTCAACAGAACCAAGCCATTTTCTTCTTTTTTTATATTTTTTGTTTTTATGGTGATTAGCATTTGCCACCAGTTATTTACATAATGACACAGGTGAAGGAACTGTAAAGAAACTCTACAGTTTCCAAATACGCTGTTCAACTTACATTTTCAGCAAAGGTTAGTGATGGGTCATATCGACCACCTATCGGGTTGGCAGCTGCCAGTACTGCACACCTGGCCTGTAATGATGTAACAATGCCAGCTTTAGACACTGAAATACTCTGTTGCTCCATCGCCTCGTGAATACTTGTCCTGTCTTGGTCATTCATCTATAGAAAATCAAAATTGTAACACAAAGTTAGATTTGTCCACATGCAAACATTCAAAACTTGAATAAAAAGAGTTACATTTTTTAAGGTGACAGGCACTAAACAGATGTTACAAAACTACTCATAGCTTGCCTTTCAATTCTTGAGCTGAAATAAACTTATCATGTTAGGCCATCCTTAAAAAAATGTTTGTTTGCAGTAACGCAACCTACTCACAAAATTTGCCCCTACTCAAATTTTTTTTTCGTGGTCTGGATAAAAATTATTTTTTTGTTAATCAGAAAATTATGCCTTGTGCTTTAAGGTTAATAGAAGAAATAAAATGTAGTTCTTATTAAATCAGAATTCAGTTATCAATCTATTAATTGTTACCAGATTATCAAAGCATAAATTGTCCAGCATTTTGAAATTCCATGTTTATTTGGGAGTACAGTTCAATAAAAAAAAAAAATCGACCTACCTACCCACCTTGAAAATTCTGGGTCGGGTCACTGCAAACAAACATTTTCTTAAGGACGGCCTTACATAAGCAACAAGAGCTGTCCGTAAGACAGCGCGCTCGACTTTTTTATTGCTTGCCAATAAAAAAAGTTTTTGCAGTAAAAGGCAATACAAGAATCTCTGTATTTTTAAAGTGAACAATGGCCATGAGCATTAAGATATTTAGTGAAGAATTATTTTACTGAATTGTGTGATACCCTTGAACACTGCAGCAAAGTTTGAAATGTTTAAGTCAAAAGAGGGCTGGTAAGAAAGAAAAAAAAACTAAGTCGATAAAAGGCCTTAATTTTTAAAACAAATCCTTGACAGAGTTACCTTCTCTTGCGTACAGATGGGGGTAATGATGTGAAATAGCATTAAAAGTTTCAAAGCAATATCTCAAAGGGTTAAGGCAATAAGTGGATTTTACCCATATTCAATGTATTTTCTAAGTCAAAAAGGGGCATAATTCTGTCAAAACCTTGACAGAGTTATGTCCTCTTGTCTGTTGATGAAGGTCGTGATGGTAAACAAGTATGGTCAGTTTCAAAGCAATACCTCCAATGGTTTTGAAATAAAGTGAGGTGGTACAAAAAACTTAACCAAGCTCAATACACTTTCTAAGTCAACAAGAGCTGTCCGTAAGACAGCGTGCTCGACTTTTTTATTGCTTGCCAATAAAAAAAGTTTTTGCAGTAAAAGGCAATACAAGAATCTCTGTATTTTTAAAGTGAACAATGGCCATGAAGCATTAAGATATTTAGTGAAGAATTATTTTACTGAATTGTGTGATACCCTTGAACACTGCAGCAAAGTTTGAAATGTTTAAGTCAAAAGAGGGCTGGTAAGAAAGAAAAAAAAAACTGAGTTGAGCCTTAAATAAATTTAATAGTATTAAACCCACTTTGAGAGAATAAGGTATTTTTACGTCACTCAGAACACCTTGGTAAATGACATAATAACATAATTTTTCAAGAAATCTATGCCAAGGAAGCAGTATATTTTGTACAATCAGCATAATATATAGATTTGAATTTTTTTAGATTTTTTTAAGTTTTTTAGTGCTTGCCTATAATACAAACATTGACAGTTAAGGGCCATAATTCAAATAAAATCTTTGACAGAATTACCTTCTCCTGGACATGTTTGGGAATCATGATTGTAAACAAGTATTCCAACTTTCAAATTAATATCTCAAACAGTTCAGTCAAAAAGTGGACTGGTACTAAAAACTTAACCAAGATTCTAAGTCGATAAAAGGCCTTAATTTTTAAAACAAATCCTTGACAGAGTTACCTTCTCTTGCGTACAGATGGGGGTAATGATGTGAAATAGCATTAAAAGTTTCAAAGCAATATCTCAAAGGGTTAAGGCAATAAGTGGATTTTTACCCATATTCAATGTATTTTCTAAGTCAAAAAGGGGCATAATTCTGTCAAAAACCTTGACAGAGTTATGTCCTCTTGTCTGTTGATGAAGGTCGTGATGGTAAACAAGTATGGTCAGTTTCAAAGCAATACCTCCAATGGTTTTGAAATAAAGTGAGGTGGTACAAAAAACTTAACCAAGCTCAATACACTTTCTAAGTCAAAAAAGGGCCATAATTCTGTCAAAAACCTTGACAGAGTTATGTACTCTTGTCTGTAGATGGAGGTTATGATGGTGAACAAGTATGGTAAGTTTCAAAGCCATACTTGTAATACTTCTGAAATAAAGTGGGGTGGTACGAAAAACTTAACCAAGGTGTGACGCCCTTTTCATAGAAAAGTCGAGCTAAAAACAGTTTACAAATGTTCCTTAAATTTTCTTCAATTATCAAAGAAACAGAACATTTTAGAAAGAACAAAAGTAGTTAAAAGAGAAACAACCTAAAGAGCATATTGTGAGCCACTTGTTGTAAGCAGCAGTTATTATTAACCTATAGAGCAAATTTGGACCTTTTCGCTTTAACCAGTGGTTGCCAAAATAGAGATTTCTGCAACACTGCTGTAAGACAATGGAATTAAGATGGTGTAATCTTTTCTTTTCTTTTTGCATTAAGACATACATTTTTTTGTTTGTTTTGGGTTTTACATCACATCGACACAGTATAGGTCATATTGCGATGTTCCAGCTTTACTGGTGGAGGAAGACCTCAGGTGCCCTTCCGTGCATTATTTCAGGCACGAAGGGGCACCTGAGTAGAACCACTGACGTTCCATAAGCCAGCTGGATAGCTTCCTCACATGAAAGAATCCAAAGTCCCTGTCGGGATTCGAACCCACAGCGGTGAGGGGCAAGTGGTTTGAAGTCAACAACCTTTACCACTCGGCCATGGATGCCCCTTAAGACATAGAAATAAGGGAATTAACTGTAAAAATTACATAACTACCTTATCAAACTCATCAATCAGACAGATTCCTTTATCAGCAAGCACCAATGCTCCTGCCTCAAGAGTCCACTCCTTCGATACAGGGTTTCTCTGAACATAGGCTGTCAAACCTACAGCTGAAGCACCCTGACCTGTCGTATAAACAACCCTAGGGGCAGTCTTCTCCATGTACTTCAAAAATTGAGACTTTGCTGTACCAGGGTCTCCACAAATAAGACAGTTAATATCACCTCTGACTTTATGTTTACCCCCTGGATTCTTTGGCTCCCCACCAAACACAGCTAGAGCCAGGGCTCGCTTGATGTCCTCATGTCCATAAATCGATGGTGCTATACTGGTAAATATCTGGAAAAAAGATTTCTTGACATGATTCAAAATCTTACAATCGACATAAAAACTGAATCACTAGGTCTTTTGAGTAAATACAAAATGAGAGAAATAATTTATTGTCTCATACAGACTTGTTTTTTTCCTCCATACTTTCTTAAGCAGCCAAAATACCATTTTAGAATTATTTTTGTTGCAACAAGTGCTTGCTCTTTAACATTTAATGTCTTCCTTCGCTATAATCATGTTTGATGGTGACTTTTGCATTTCAGAAATTTTATTGCTACATTTGCTTTTAATCTTAACAAGAGGGCCATGATGGCCCTGAGGTCGCTCACCTGTATATAGGCCCCCCCCACCAACCCCAACGTTGCAGGGCCAATTTAACCCAAGTGCTTTTATTTGCACAAACTTGGTAGACACCCATAAGAAGATGTTTCATGCTAAACATCTAAGCTCTAGCTCATTGGGCTTTTTAAAAGAAGATTTTTTTTAAGTTTTTACTATACACATATAGTTAAAACAATGACACCCCTGGGGCCGGGCCAGTTTTGACCCCAGGGCTTTTATTTGAACAAACTTTGTAGACACTTACTAGAAGATGTTTCTTGCTTAATATCTAAACTCTAGCTATTTGGGTTTTTTCAAAGAAGATTTTAAGTTTTTGCTATACACATATAAAGAAAATCAATGACCCCCGGGGCGGGGCCAATTTTGACCCCAGGTCTTTTATTTGAACAAACTTTGAAGACACTCACTAAAAGATGTTTCATGCTTAACTCTAGCTATTTGGGTTTTTTCAAAGAAGATTTTTTAAGTTTTTGCTATACACATATAAGGAAAATCAATGACCCCCGGGGCGGTGCCAATTTTGACCCCCAGGGCTTTTATTTGAACAAACTTGGAAGACACCTATTAGAACATGTTTGATGCTAAATATCTTAGCCATAGCTCTTTGAGTTCTTTAAAAGAAGATTTTTTAAGTTTTTACTATATGCATATAGGGAAAATCAATGACCCCCCGGGGCGGGGCCAATTTTGACCCCAGGGCTTTTATTTGAACAAACTTGGTAGACACTTATTAGAACATGTTTTATGCTAAATATCTTAGCTCTAACTCTTTTGGTTCTTTAAAAGAAGATTTTTTAAGTTTTTACTATATGCATATAGGGAAAATCAATGACCCCCTGGGGTGGGGCCAATTTTGACCCCAGGGCTTTTATTTGAACAAACTTGGTAGACACCTATTAGAACATGTTTGATGCTCAATATCTTAGCCATAGCTCTTTGAGTTCTTTAAAAGAAGATTTTTTAAGTTTTTACTATATGCATATAGGGAAAATCAATGACCCCCTGGGGCGAGGCCAATTTTGACCCCAGGGCTTTTATTTGAACAAACTTGGTAGACACTCACTAGAAGAGGTTTCATGCCAAATATCTAAGCTCTAGCTCTTATGGTTTTTTAAAAGAAGATATTTAAAGTTTTTTCTTTCGGTTGCCATGGCAACCAGAGTTCTGCATGGAATTAAATTCTTTGAACAATTTTTAAAGGTGACCACCAAAGGAACATTCCTGTGAAGTTTGGATGAAATTGGCTTAGTGGTTTATGAGGAGATGTCATTTAAAGTAAAAGTTTACGGACGGACGGACGCCGGACGAAAAGCGATCACAAAAGCTCACCCTGTCACTTTGTGACAGGTGAGCTAAAAAGAACTGTTCTTAATTCAAAGCTAGGCAAATGCATTACAGGAATTCAGCAGGTTAAGGGTTAAGAATCAATTCAAAATGGGGAAAAGTGGTGGCAACAGGTTAAGCCAGCAGCCGGAACCACTTGTCAATGGATACCTCATGCAGCTATCAAAAACCCAAGATGTCTTCATACTTACTCTTTCGCCGATTCTTTCATCTTTTGACAACTGTACAATAGCTTTGATATCCTCATCTGTCAGACTGCTCACGGCTAATTTATCATCTTTCTTTGTAATGTAGTTGGCCTGAATAACTGTGGCAAATACTGGGAACCCATTGGCTGTGTTCAATGACCCATCATAGTTGTTATGATAGACCCCAGTCATTTCCTGAATATATAATATGACAGATGCTTTAGAACTGAAACTTTTGATTCTACTACCATATATAAGAAAACTATTGTCTAAACTTTCAATTGAACTCTATTCAAGCTAGCTGAAAATAATGACTTATCTATGAGTCATTCATCAAGAGCTTGGTCCATCTCAACCATGCAGTCATTCCTGTTTTTTTTAAATTTCAATAGCTAGAAATACATAGCATAAAAATATCATCTCTTGTTTTTCAAGAACAGTTTTTATTATTATGCAAAATGACCTAAAATGAAGTGTTTAAACCATTGTAACTCAAACTTGATTTTCAATTAGACTATTTATGACCTTCATATTAGTCTGTTATGTTCAATTTGATCAATGTAAGATTTTTAAATTTTATGTTTTTAGACTTGTCAACATAAATTTTTACATTAGGTGTATTCTGTCCAACTGGCTGCTGTTAAGAGAAATGCAGTCTTCTGAAATATTGTTTTATACATATATTAAAGAAACACAACACTCACAATTTCATCTCCAGGTTTACAGTTGTCTGTTAAATCATCCAATAATATTGCATCTTTTGATCTTGGCAGTCTGCCAGCTGGCACTTTGCCAGGACTTTCCTGTAGTGTGATCCTCTGGTAGTTTTTATACAAAGTCTACAAGAACAGAAACAAGTTATTATATAAACAAGTACATCAGTCATGGTAAGGGATGCTTCCAGATTTTACTGAAAAAAAAAAAAAAAAAAAAAACAACGAACAATTAGCTTCAATGACCAAACTGACTTCAAATGAACTTGAATGAAGGTGCTAAAACAAACATCAATTTGGACTTCCAAGCAGCTGGTCTGTCAGATTTTATTAACTACAGTGAGATAGGAATCCCTTCACACTGATACACAAGATGAGATATCCTTTTATTTTCAAATTGACTGTTCATCTGTGTGTATCTGGTTTGTACTTCTCACATTTTTTTTCCATACAAATAAGACTGGTCACAACAAAAACTGACAAATTTCATTGTTATAAATTTCTCTGTTACCAATTTTTAGGAATCAAAGCATATGAAAACCAAGTAAAGTGACCACAAAGTGACCACTTACTCTTTTTATATTTTAGGCATATTTATATTCTATCCTTAACATTTTTCAATATATACTGTTGATTAATCACCATTATAACAGTCAATATTTGAAATATATAGTCAATTCAGTCAACCTAACAATGAAAATATAAGCATATAAATGTCACTTCATGTAACAGCATCGCCTATATGACTGAAATACTGTTGGGAAAAGGTGTAAAATGAAACAAACAAACAAAATGTAACAGCATTATATTAACTCAACTACTAATTAAAGGGAAGTAAATGTAAACTTATCCCATTGTCCTGCAAATGGCAATCAAGTGGAAATATGGATGAATTTGTGCAAAACTTACTGTAAAAGAGTGACAAACCTAGTTCAAGTTCAATTGTAAGTATCATTGTAAGGAATCAAAGCATATGAAACTCAGTAAAGTGACCACTTACTCTATAGTCAGTGTCTATTCTAGGATAAGAAAAACGGTCTTTTATCGAATACATTTGTTGTTTCTTTTCCCTTCTTTCTCTATGTAGAAAGGGGGGGGGGGGGGGGGGATGCTAAAATAAATGGCAGATCTATATCTTGATTGGAGAAAATATAAAGTACCAACCTGTTCCATATTGATTTCAAATGGCCCTGTGGACTGACACTCTGGACATGAACCCGGCTTCACTTCCTGTGACTGAGATTGGTAGTAAGGCCCAAGGATGAAGTTACACTTGTTACAGTCGTACTTGATGATGTTTAACTGCGGCAGAACTCCTGTACAGCTGGTAACCACACCACTTGTACGAATAAGCTGATTCAAGTGCAATTGTCTGTTGGCAGAATAAAATTTTATCAGGTTTATTAATGAATGCTATCAAACTTAATGGCACAGGGATAGAACCAGGGCAGCCTGGATTTCTATGTAGCCTGACCGTCACCCGATACTATACACTTGACTTTTTTTGTTTTACCTTTAATTCATTTCAACATTTTCAATGGTGATATTTTCTTTTTAATTAATGCAGGGCAAGATCATTGCACAAATTAATAGATTAAAGGTTAACAAAGAATAAATGCATTAACTTCAAAACGCCCACAAGAAAGAAAGACTTCTCAAGCCCAGAAAATTCTTACGTTATTAACATAGGCCCTGTCAATACTAAATTTATGGTAAATGTGCAATATTATAACAATTACACCATATTGGAACAAAAACAGTCACTACTAATAAGCCCACAATTAAATGTACCCAAGATTTTTTACATCACAGTCACTGTTACTTACTTATAAACTTATCTAGCTATTTAATTTGTCATCTCATATGTCTACAATCATTTCTATATTTATGTACACTTACCTTAAAGATCTAAGTTCTTCAATGAGAGGTAACTCCGCAACTCTTACATGTATTTCTTTAGCTATTCTCTCATAATTAGGGTACATACTCAATACAACTTCTTTTGCTGCCTACAAGTAAGAAAAAGTTGGGACAAATGAAGCACATTATACAACAAATTACCTGCAAGTTTAAATTTTACCTTTAGCATACAAATTCCAGAAATTTACTGTAATATTCATAATGCTCTTAAATCAACTTCCCAACCATTATGCAGTTTTCTTTCTTTCATTTTTTTCTCTTATTTTTTTCCACTGAAGCTGAAAAGGAAGATCTTAAATACTTTGTGTTTCATGAAAGTCGAATTTCCAATCCTAATTAGCTCATCTTCCTTATAAAAATGTGCCTATATAGAACTTTATTTAAATCATACTTATGAGCAAGTCCAGTGTTTTTTTTCACCAAAATATTCGGCGAAATTCAGCCCCATTCCCCCCTCAAAATAGTATATTTTTTTCCCCTCTAAAAGCCGAAATTTCCCCCTCATATGACAGCCAAAATTTGCCTGCAATGGATACCATTGTTTTTGCGTATAACTGCCGAAAAATGTTTTATATTAAGCCTGTAAGACTTAATGTTAAGCAAAGTTGTTTACAAATTGTTCCCGGGTATGTAAGGGGAACTACTCCTGGCGTCCCAACAAGTTTAACATGCGACTCTTTAAATTCTGCTGTCAATATTTTAGATCCGTATATTAAGAAAAAGCGACGTATTTTAAACTTGTGTTGCAAGAGTTGTCTCCTTTTCTAATCACTGGAAAGAAAACAATGTCAAACAAAAGTAAATCTTAAAGTGGTATGTGATGTATTAAAATATGCATTGGATTTGTTTTTGTTTCTTCATTTGCGAAGAAATAAAATTCCCCCTCATTTTGCATTTTTCCCCCTCCAAAGGGCACCGACCCCCTTCCCCAAAAAGTGAAAAAAAAACACTGAAGTCAATTCCTTTTCAAGGAGACAAAATTGTCTGATCCGAGATAATCCCGAGTATACAATCTGCTTCAAAACTTTTCTAATTTGACAAATTATTTATTAGAACTCTTTCCAGCAAATAACTGTTTCTATACACTTTTAACCATGTGACTACTTATTAGGTTATTATTATCAAGAATCATTCAACATACTTCATCAAAATTCTGCAGCATTTCAGTTGGCGCTTCAGGAAGGAAGTATGCTAGAACCTGTTCTACAGAAGCCAACATGTTGTAGTCAATAATCAAACTCTCCTTGTTACCTGAAATATACATTTTAGTATTAGATTTAACACAGCATTAACCCATGTTCATACTGGACAGTCTGAGATGGAGGCACCCGACGAACAGACAAGGGCAAAGCGATATGCCCCCCAAACTAAGTGAAGGCACTAAAAAAGTAAATTCAACAAAATCCACTATTTTTCTTATGTAAACTATTAACATACTTTTGTTTCTGTTCATCTAGCCTTAATTGTGAGAACATGTGCCCCTCTGTGTACCTAGCAAGACCCAAAATCCTGCATCTTACAATAAATGGTATCACAATTAATAAATTCATCACTATACAATACATTGCAGCACCCATTCAAAACCTCTTCATCTTACTCATCCTATCAGGTCGCAACCATTCAAAGGTGCCACTATACACATTACTTTTGTTACAAGACTGGCACCAGGGTAGAACCAGTGACCTTTTGTAAAGGTAGACAATAGCATTCTAACATGAAAGAATGATAGCCCATCAGACAGGTTATAAACCTGCAGATATTGGGAGCATGTGACAATACATTTGCTTCAGACTACAAACACACTCGGCCATAAAGGTCTTACCTTTTATGATAAATGACCTTACCTTCAACCATTTGACGAATTTTCTCCCTGTACACATTGTGTCCCTTTGCGTCAACAAATGTTCTAAGGAAGTTCTTAAATCTGTTTTTAATTTCTGTTTTTGGAGCCAACATGGATACCCATTCTCTCACTGAATGACCTTTCATGTCTTCAAGATTTTCAATGCTTTCTATCATCTAATAAAATAGAACAAACAAGTTTTCTTAACACTTACTCCAGTAAATCGGTGTATAATCTATTTTGCATTCAATTTGAATTGTTCACTAATTATTTTTTGAAAAAGAAATTTCTTTAGAATTCTTTCAATAAATGGATAAAGTAAACTTTGCAGCAGTGTAGAAAAAATAAGTATTTTAACTTAAATACATAACTTTGCAAATTAAAACTACTAATACTGGTGATATTTCTACAACTTTACTCCCACAATATTTTTTAATATTGATTTGTTCTTTCTTTAATCTAGTACAGACTTTCTATATCTAATAGGATTTCTGTGCTGTCTGACCAGGGTCTGCAAGTAATACAGGATTTGCAATTTTTCCTAATAATGATGAATGGTTTTTCCTGATCAAAAGATGGGCATGTTCATTTAAGATATTTAGTGGAGTTAAGAAGTCAAAAATGTCAGATAATCTATATCTATTCTGGCGTAATGGTCAACTTATTCTTACTGCTAGCATTACATGTGTAATCATAAACATTTATCAGCTAAGCGAAAAATAATTGTACCTCATCATCCTCCATTTCACCCTCGGCAGCTCTCTCTGCCCTCCGATGTTTACGAGGCCGATCATCTTCTTCGTCAGATTCATCTAAAATGTACTTAAATGTATAAACTTCACTTTCTCTGGATAAGTTTTAGATACTCAACTCATTGCTTTTTATATTTTTCCAGAGTAATTTCATCAAGGAAGTACAGTTATGGCAAAGTTATGAAACCACTTGTCACCAGACTTCCCGAAATACGTCGGTCCGACGGACATGTCCGATAAATTTTGATCAGGTCCGACAATTTTTTATTCCGGATCGGTCCGACTGTCCGGCTTTTATCCAAGCCGCATGTATACAAAATGGCGTCGCTAAAGGTGCCAAACCTGGGAATAACCGAAAATATACGTCAGAAGAGTGCGCAGAACAGCAATAAAAGGATGAAAAGAATAGACCTGAGACAAAATTTAATGAAAAATGGAAGCAGAACCATGAATCATTGGTGTATGACAGGGAGGAGATGAAAATGCGCTGTACGGATTATGCCGATTTTTACGGCGAAAAAATAAAAAACAAAAAGTGTCTTAGAAATACAAACACAAGTTTTTCTTTGATTTTGATCAATTTTATTTGGTCCGACAGATTTTGTTTCGGTCCGACAGATTTTCGTGGTTTGTCAGACCGAATGTCTGACAGTTTTTTTCAACTTTCGGGAAGTCTGTTGTCACAGTCTCATTTTATTTATGTTACCAGTTTCAAGTATCTCTGTTGTGGTCATATGGCAATTTTATAGTTCACAAAACTTCATAGCTATGCGGACAGTTCTCTCTCTCTGCCAGCTACTTTTGCCAAACCGTCATAAATGCTGGCTACTCTGAAAATTACCATGGACAGCACTGTTCTGGCAGAGTATTCCAAATAACACATGCATTAGAATAGAACAACATGAAAGAATTTAAATTCAACAGTGAAGAAAGATCAAGTCATTTACAGTCAGCAACTAAACTAAGATCCACATACACATCGATATTGCTTCAACAAAATGGCCAAAACATTCTAGCTTAAACATCACCAAACAATCTTTAATGACTTTCTTTGAAGTGGGAAAATAAAACTTTCTTTTTACCATACATAAGGCCTCTTCTCATTCGACCGGTCAGTCTACCCTCCTCTTTTTCTCGCTGACGTATTTCTCGTTCAGCAGCCTGTCGCTGGCTCTCTGATATATCCGAGTAGTCATCCTCATCATCCAGGTGTTCTTGATCATAAACATCTAATTCTGGGATTGGACGGTAATCTCTGAAATAAAGAATTAAAGTTTAAACTTTAATGAAGAAAAAATATAACGACAGAAATACCTCTCCTTATATCAATAACCATCTGAAACTTAATATGTTTATCAAATTCACTATATACTAAAGTCACACAAGCCTGTTTAACATTTCTTTAGAATCTGTTATAAAAAGGGGCACATTTTTTCAAAAACTAATTCTTTCAAAGAATAGTGGAACTAAAAATAAGCCTGAATCAATACAATTCTTTACTATGATATTTTATGATGAAATAATTACCTTTCCAGGTTATCACCAAACAACTCTTCTCCATCATCCTCTTCCTGGACAGGCTCATTATCTCCAAGAAGTTCAGAATCATCTTCAAATGGCGGTAAATCACGACCAGGACTGGATGTTAAAGGATCACGCCCACGGCTCCTAGTTGATCTTGGACTAGTAGCAGTTGAGAAAGGGTCAGAAGATGTTTCATCCTTTAAAAAGAATTTATGAATTAGTCACCGACTATTCTTTCTATTACCTTCTTATAGTAACATTGTGATTATCAAATATAACTCTGCACCATGTTTGTTACAAGTTAATGATCAATTAGGGTTTAAATTTTTTTTTTATCTCAGTTTGATCAACCCTTTTTTAAAAAAAAAACGATTTTGTTTTTTTAGAACGATTTAAATTTCTTAAATAGGGTGGCAGGGCCCTTTCTAAGAAAAATCGCAATTTTTTTTTAAAGTACGTGCCAAAATTATATAAATCGCTTTTTTTCTTTTTAAAAAAAATCAAAGAGGCAGACCACAAAATTTTAAAAGTAAATTAAACACATTTAAACCCCCTCAACAAAAACAAAGGGAAGGGAAACCCAAAAACAATTATATACAATTTTAAAAATGCTCAAAAATATATTTTTAATTTTTTTAAATTTTTTAATTTTTTAATGGAAAAAAAATTAAAACAAAAAAAATCCGTAAGGCCCATAAAACCCTTTAAAATTTTGGTTTCTCAGGGCCCTTGTTTTTACTTTTAGCCCAAAAAAGGGACCATTGACCAGAAAACCCCGGGAAAGGGGGTCCCCAAAATTTTAAAGACGAGTATAAAATTAAAAATTTCCGGGACCATACCGTACCCCCTAAATTACAAAGCATAAAAAATTTAAAAAAATGGGGTGTTCAAAAAAAAAAATTTAAACTTTGTACAGTTATTATTTCCCACTTTTATTAACTAAATTTTCAAAATTATTTCCACATAAATATTGCTAGATTTTTACTTTAAAATTTTTGTTGCATCAAAAGACATCCTTTTTTTTTTCGGGGTTTGTTTATTTTAAAAAAAGAAATGCTTTGTATTTTCTTTAAAATGTATTCCCGGTGGGATTTTTTGTTTCCCGATGTTCTTTAATTTATTTTTAGTTCCCCCCAAACCCATTTAAAAAACCCCCGGGGGGTAATTTTTTTGGTTTTACCCTCCCGTCCGTTTCCCCCTTTCCCTCTGTCGTCCTTTTCCGGGCCCCTCCCTTCCCCTCTGTCCCTCAAATCCGGGCCCCAAAAAAGGATCTTTCCCCATTAAACGCAAAAAGTTTTCTGGGAAAAAAATTTTTTTGAAAATTTTAAAATTTTTAAATTTTATATGGATAGATAGCAGTCTGAAAAATTAAAAGCACGGGCTTTTTTTTTTTTCTTCCTGTCTTTTTCTTTTTTCTTTTCCCTTTTTTGAAAAAACTTTTGGTTTTTATGGCAAAAATAGGCCCCCTTTAAAAAATTTGGGAAAAACAAAAAAATATTTGTCATTTTTTCCCCCAAAAAAATAAAAGGAAAAAATTTTTTTTTGAAAATAAAAATATATGTTTCTGAAACATTCCAACCTCCCTCTATGTTGGGCAAGGTTTAACAACTTAAGGGACAAAAATCCAAAAATTAACCCCCCCCCTTTAAATTAGGGAAATTTTTATGAAAAATGAAAGATTTTTTTAATTAAAAACTTCTTTATTTTTTATAAAAAAGTATCTAAATATAAAACTTCATAATATTTCGTGTCTTATCATTACTTTAAGTCACTTTTGGGGGAAGGGTTTAAAAGTCCCAGCTTGACTATTTTAAAGGAAATTTTCAGAACCTAATAGCACATCCTCCCCAAAATCCACATCAAAAATAATATGACAAGGGGTTTTAAATCTAGCGGGCCAATTTTCCCCGAATTATATCCCCCCTTAAAAATTTTTTATTTTTTCCCCTTTCCCAAATTTTTTTTAAATTTTCTTCTTTTCTTCCATGGATTTTCTTCAAATTAAAAAAAAAAAAACATTCATTATCAAAAAACCTACTTTTTAATTTTAAAATTAGAATTATAAAGGGCATGGGGGTTTTCCCTGATTTTTTCATTCCCCAAATTGAAAAAATTTTTTTGGGAATTTTTTTTTTTTTTTTTTTCCCCTTTTTTTACGATAAAAAGAATTTTTTATTTTTTTTTTTTTTTTTTCACTTTTCTTTTTTTTGACTATTTAAAATTTCCTTCCCCCTAAACTGGAGTTATTTTTTTAAACCAAAAATCATTTATACAAAGTTCATTTTTTTTTTCGAAGTTATCCCCCCTTTTTAGTTTAAAAAATTTGGGTTTTAAAAAAAAAAAGGTTATTAAAATTTTTTTTTTTTTTTTCCCCAAAAGGGGGGCTTTTGGGCAGGTTTTTGTTTTTTGTTTTTTCCGTTTTTTTTTTAAAAACTGTTTTTCCTTTAGATTTAATTTTTTAAAAACATTAGAAAATTTTTTTCCAAAAAAAATTAATTAAAAAAAAAGAGAAAAGTTTGAAAAAAAATCAGTTATACATATTCACCCCTGAAAAAATTGGATCTTTTGATTATCTGTTTGTAAACATAATAATAAAATTTAACACATATATGATACAGACAAACTAAAAACACAAAAATTTTAAAAGTTATTCATGTCATTCATTCTTTCCCCAATACATACATATGTAATTCCCAGTGACCATTGGCCCTTGAGAATTGCTGGGTTCTAATCCATAGGGGACTAATGGATTTTTGGGCAATACTATGATAGTTGCGGTTATATGGGAATTTAAAAAAACAAATACCCTTTTCAGCCCTAAAAACCCCAAATATTCACCACATTTTAATTTAATGACAATGTTAAAAACGGTTATTTGTATAAATTATAAAACTGAAAATTATTCTCAATCTAATTTGCAGGGGTTTTAAAATAATTTTTGCCAAAAGTTTTTTTTCAGGAAAAATATTAAGGTACAATGTATATTCAAAGCATGTCCCCAGAAGTTTACAATTAATAGATTTTAAAAAATTCAAAGCACACCCACCACCCCTTATAAGGGGCGCTCACCCCCCTTAATTTGACCAAAATGAAATTTTCAGCCATAAAAAAAATTTTAAAAAAAATTTTAAAAATTCCCCCTTTTTTTTTTGGAAAACCCAAGGTTTAAAAGGCCAAAAAAAAAACCGGGACCTTTTTTAAAAACTTTCAAAAATTGTGTCCTTTGGGGGCAAATCTAATCCCATTTTATTTTTTTTAATTTGTTTCCCAAAAAAACATGAAAGTAAAAAAACCCAGAAAAACTTTAATTTTTTTTTTAAAAACAGGGCAATGAAAAAATATATTTTTGAAAAAAAATTTAAAATTTTTAAAATTATTAGGGCTTTAAAAATAGTTTAATGATAATACTTTTTAAACGGGGAAAATTTTAAAAAAATTTTTTTTTACCTTTTTTGTTTTTGCTTTCTTAGTAAAATTAAACAAAAATTTTAAATTTTTTTTTTAAAAAACCGTTCATTTAAAAGGGGAATAAAAATTTATATATACTAAGAACATCTCTTTTGTCTCCGCAAAAAGACAATACTAATCGTTTTGTTTTACTAGTGTAAGCTGCGGCCAACGGTTTACGCCTTTCACTTATTTTCCAATTTAGTACAGTTTCCATCTTTTTACCATCGATATGGACACGCTGAACTCCATTCTGCTGCCAAGTACAGACATAAAGCTGTCCGGGTGTAGTTACAGTAAGTCCTTTATAATACGTGCCAATGTCTTTATTTATACACTGAAACACCATCTTCCCTCCCATATCTAAAGCTATAACACCATTTATATAGTCAGATACATACATGGTCTTTGATTTTGGATCAATAGTTATGTAAAGTGGGTATCTAAACACACCTTTTGAAAGGCGTATTTTTTTGCTGAATTCACCGGACGATTTTAATACTTGTATTTCTCTTTCCGAAGACCAACCGGACGTGACATACATTTCATCCTCATGGAATGTTATTCCATAGCAATCAATGCTTAGTACGTGACTTCTGTCTTTCTCAATATCTTTGGTCCCAATTTTAAAAATTTGCACCATTTTCTCATTTGGCAAAGTGACAGCAATTTCTACATGAGATATTGTGGCAATATCTCTGGGAGAAGAGTTTAAAGTAGTACTGGAAAGCGGTTTGTAGTCAGTACCAAACAATTTCACGTTTTTGTTAGAGTCGTCTGCCAGAATCACTCGTCCATCAAAAAGGAATGTGGCCCCTGTTATGTAGCAAGGTTTCTTGTCCGTTCGTACCCTTACTTTAATGTCATTTGCAAAGTTGGGTTTTTTGTGTTCGCTGAAACTTTGTATCGAAGAGGTTATGGATGGTTCATATTCACGTGAATGAACAATTTCAATCGTAAGTTCCCCTAACTCTTTCAATCCACCAAGGAATTTTTCTATACTAGTATCGGGTATAAAGCGAAATACCTCTCTCTGGGGCATTGGCTGTATTCGCGCAAGAACTTCTGCATACGTTTGTACAACGCCCTGAACACGTTTGGTCCTTATAAACATTTCTGAATCTGATTCCTTTAAACTGTAATCCAGCTGCTTGTATGCATCGTTTAAGATATTGATAGCAGTCTGTGAAGTTTTAACATGACTTTTCACCAATTCACTTCTCTCAACACATATTTCAACTTTCTTTTGGTTGACAGCATCTTCGAGATTATTTAGAATCCCATTTATCGATTTCCGAAACATTTTGATTGAAGAATCAACAGCATCCAATTGTTGTTCGATCGATTTTATATAGTCTTCCTTTTGCATTTGCACCTCTTTAAACGAATTCTGCATCCTTTTAATGGTCGATTCCAAATCTTTACTCATCCGGAACGCTCTTTTTCCTACGGCTGCTTCATTGAGCTGTAATACTTTCTTACACACTTTGTGATTGGTTAATATGCAAACGCTGCAACAAAGCGCCTCATGCGTCTCGCAATAACTGATTAAAACGGCTCCATGATCATGACATTTTTCTTGAATCCTTGTAGAACTTTTGACAACCCGTTTCTTAGTTAAACTTATTAAAACATGCGATCTTGTTATCGGTGCCTTGACGTGGGATTTTGAACAATATGAACAGAAATGTCCGTTGCAGTCTTTACAATATTTCACAGCTACCATTGGTTTTCCAGCAAATCTGCACGGATCACAACTCAACTCCGATGCATGTAAGTCGACACTAGCTTTTCGGACGGAATTCATGTTAAATGCGATGAAGTTATTTTTAGTTCCCCTTGTTTCGTTACAGTTCTCTACGCTATAATGTTAGTCCTTTATCAACTGCAGTCTATATTCAAAACTTTTAAGCAAATATTTTTCACTTCATGTTTGTTATGTTTAGTTGATAAAACACATTCTCTGATATTGTCACAAGTCACCGTTACAGTTCATTTCGGACAATTATATTGCTTTTGTTTTTGCTCATGCTGAAAATAATGTGTGAAACATGATATCACTTGTATTTCAGTAGATCTATTGATTAATATATGAACTAAATGGCCCTATCAAATTGTTTAATTTTACATTTGTACTTACTTTCAATCTTACTTTCTGACTATGAAAAAAAGTTTTTCATGCACAAAAAAGGCATAATTTGTATGAATCCTTTTTCACTGAAATCTTTTAGAGGAGATCCACTGAGAAAGATAGATCTGTTTGTTAAAGTAGCGTGTAGAAATCTCATATTTTGCTTTATTGAATTTGTTGCACCGGCTTTACCGGTTTAATAATATTCACGTAATAGATTAATGCATTTCTGCTTTGTTTTGCATATATCATATTTATTTAAATTGCCTGCTTATAAATATAAAGACGATTTTTGTGTAACATAATCATAATATTTGTTTTTTATAATACTTGTTTCTTCGTTTTCAGGTTTTGCGCCGATTTTAAAGCATTATTTGATTATATCTCGACGGAAAAAGCACCTTATCGGCTTTGCTGGATAACTAACAAATAATAACGTATTTGTTCGCAAGCGATCAACTATTCAATCTAGATGAATTTTGATTCAGCGACGATAGACAAAATATCATTAGACTGAATAAATGAAATCAATTGTCTCGTCGCACGCGGATCTTAAATGTACAGCAAACCCTGGAATACTTATCCAATGCTGTCCCTATAGGATTTAACTCAATACAGGATTGGAGCAATACCTCTAGACTCTTGCTGAAATCATGATCACAAAATAGACAAATACGATATTTTCACCGAATATCACCTTTTACATTCCTCATCGTATATAAATCGGTGTGAAAAGTTGAATTAGACGTTTTAAGGTGAAAAGGCGAGATTTTAGCATTTTTTCATTCAAGCGTCTTGTCCGGTACATACCAGAATACGGTATTAAGGTGGTGCTCAAATCCGTTTTTATTTGTTTGGGTCGTCAGACCAAACAAATAATGGTAGCGAAATTTCAGAGTCTAATGTTGTTAATTGCAAATGCCGAAAGTAGTCCACTTTTTTGAAGCGGTTACTTCCCTTTTGTATGTACACTAAAGCCGAAAAATTCAGGGGAGATCACTGCGTAAAGATGGTCAAAGACAGGCGCATCAATTTTCAAGCAAAGTAATTCCCGAATGGTCGAAGATTTCTAATATTGTTTTATTGTATTTTCTGATCGAAAATAACTAAATACAAAGCGGACATTCAATCTCTGACACTGAAGTTTACGACAAACCTAACAACAAGTAGTTCTCAAAACAGCTTTAAACTAGCGATTTAAAAGAAAGAAATATTTTATTTTGTTACAAGTATCCAACAAATTACAACGCATTTAAAGTTTAACAATAGCGTTGGCTTATAGAATTGTCAATAAATGCACAATCACAAATTACGCGGATGAATATGATTTTATCAATGAAAATACTATTAATTACCGAATACTACACAAACCGAGTAGTGGAATATATAGATTCTACAGGTCGGACTGTTTGGGCGAGAGGATTTTCGCTAAAATATTTACTTCAATTTTAAACAACAGGTTTACCCTGAACAAAATACCTCGAAATTAATAAGGATTACAAACCCGAAATGCAATGGAAGTTCTAAATTTAGAATGACTTGATATTATTCAGACTTCTGTGTATAATTTATCCGTGGTACAGTGGTAACGCGCTCGCTTAGTGAGTGAGAGGTCTCGAGTTCGAATCCCAGTCGAGGAAATTTTTTTTTTTGTTAAATTCTTTTTTAAGGTGGACCATGGGTAATGCATAAACTCCATTTTGAAGAGTATTCAAATAGGCTAAATTCGCTTGCAAACTACATTGAAATTGAGGGGCGTGGGTTCAAGCCCCAGATGGGGCAACTTTTTTTCTTTCTTTTTTTCCTTTTTAACATTTTTTATGTATCTCTCTGATCCCTTATGAAAGAAAAAAGGGTTTGATTTAAATTATATAATTATTGTAGGTATTTATTTGCTAAATAATGACAAAATTAATAGAAAATATGATACCAGATATTTTTAAAGTTTAATAAAATAAAAACTACACGGTAAAAGTATTTTATATTTCACAGGATCAACCAATATACCTTTAAAAAAATTTAGGCAAACTTTGAAAACAGCCCCTCATTATGGTAAATTTTAGGAATATTTTGAATAAGGCATTTTAGATAGGGAAATGGTAAAATTAGTGTTTAAAGTGGGTGGGGTAGGGTAACATTTTTATACATATTAAGAACATTTTGTTTAGAAACAAACATTTTGCTTGTGTAATTTGTTACCTGAATGTTACTATTTGTTTCTTAACAATGGGTAATAGAAAAATATTTTTTATAATGATGATATTACAGATTATTTAGAGTTTCTTCATTTCTGAAAATAAGCCCTTCTAATGGCAAAGTCTTAGTTTAGAAATATAGCCATAACTCATAAACCACACGGTAAATTTTATTTAAATTTTGCATACAGTTCACCTTGAAGACATATAACTGTCCTATGTTGTCAATTTTACAGTTCCTTATGGTGCCCATTACCCATGGTCTACATTAAGTGTTTTTGTTAAGGAAGTAGGCATGATATGCAAGGATAAAGTGTGGCTGTCGTAAGAAATGAACATAAATGATTTTTTGATGCAACTCTAGTTATGCAGAATTCCCTATGTATCAAACTCTGGTGCCTTGCAAAATGAATTATAATACATAAAAATAAACCTATACAGGAAAATGCATACAGATATACAGTTGATTTAGATTGCAAAGATCAGAAAATACCACAGAACTTGCAGCCCTTTGATTCTTTATAAATATAAATGCTTATAGTAAGCTCCAGGATTATTTACATCTGTGTTAAACAACAGTTAAAGTCGTTACAAGCCCTAATTTAGAATAATATGGTTTTCTTCAGCCCGTTCACATATAAATTCACCGTGGCTGAAGGGTTTTCGGGCTCGCTTAGGAAGCGAGAGGTCTGGAGTTCAAATCCCAGTAAAGGTAACTCATTTTTTTTCTAATTGTTAAAGTCAAATAAACATTGGATTGAATATCAGTGTTGCAATTAGTCTTATAGCCAATTTACTACAATTAAAACGCTGAAAAGCATTGGTGGCACTATACATATAATCTCACAACCTGCACCTTTCTTACATTCTGAGACCCAAACAAATTCAGCGCCTTCTGTGCTTTGATTTAGTCTCACTCCTACCTAAAAAACTTACGGGGCAGACTTAACATGTTTACATACATTGCTGTGAACATGCTGGTGTAAACATAATAATATAGGTGAACATTGTTTACATAATTTAAGATATCGTAATAGTTATAACAGCAGGAATGAAAACTCATAAAGTCGTTTCACACTTTATTCGGAAAACATGCAGTTTTCATGTATTAAAAAGTAACTCTTTTCGTGTCCAAAGATTTATCTGAGCAAAAATTCTTCTTTAATATTCTTTAGTATGTCTGGGTTCATCAAGATATCTATAGCACAAGATGCAAGGACCTTTGCTTGTATCAAGGCATACTGCTGAGCTTTAGGGTCACCTAAAAGTAAAAAAAAACTATGATAATGAAGGAAAAATAAGTCAAAAGCACGCAGAAAAATAAAATTCAGTTGCCAGTAAAAATCATAGGTCAAAGTGCCATTCGAGGGTTGAAAATGACCTTTAAATAAATAATATAATATTGCATTGCTTAAGTATGTAATGTAGCTCACTAGTACCTATGGTATTGTGTTTTCTTTGAACAGTGTCACTAGTTTAAATATGAAAATTTCAAATTCAAAATGCATATTGACTGAAGTTTATCTGTTACAACCGTAACCGAATAGGAAAGAAATCACTAAGCCTAGCTTCTTTCTTTTATTTATTTAACATCAGTTATATTGAAACTTTTATAAATGTCTTTAAAATAAGCATTAATTCTAAATCATTATATGTTTCTTTAATAAATTGTCTTTAAAATAAGTATAAATTCTAAATCCTCACCTGCTTCTTTAGTAAATTCTCGGGTATGATTGACCGCTCTACCACCAATGTAGAAGCTAGGATGTATACTTGGAACTATTTGGGACACATTTCCCATGTCTGTGGAACCAAGTACTGCACTTTTAACGGTGGGAACATCGTCTGTCTGTAGAGTTGCTAAGTTTGACTGATACAGGCCAGCCATGACTTTATTGTGTAACACGGCAGAAAATGGTTGACCGACCAGTCCAACTTCAACCTGCCAAGTAAAAACGTCGATCATGCGTAATACTAAATAAGACTGAATGTTTGACATTTAAGGGTAATCAGTTTATACACAAAGAAAATGTTTGAACTTTTGTTATAAAATGTCCTAGGCAACAACATATAATAAGATTATGATTCTGAAAAGGGGAGATCTTACGAGAGTAACAAAAGAAAAACAAATATAGAAAATCACACATCTGATTGTTCCTGTTCATAAGAAATGCATGTAATGCAAAGCGTAACATCTCTTGTGCATCACAGGACTGGTAAGATCGGTATTCAATCCCTCAGCAATAAACTTACACTCAATAATCCCTACATTTTGGAGGTTGGGGCAACGTTTTATAACCACCTCAATCATCACAATATTACACAATTATACCTGATAACATTTATGCAAAGACTTTATATTTTGTCACAAGTATTGCAATAAAATGGCCATTATTTGTAGATAGGGTGTGACTTTAATGCATAATATTTAAATAGTTTAGTACTTGACAGCCAGTTGCCGCCGCTGCTGCTTTGTATATTTCTACAACTTTCGCCTTGAGTGTTTCCTTTTCAGCGTCTGTAGGCGCGCGGAAGGAGATGTGTAGAACGGCTTTCTCGGGTATGATGTTCACTTTTACGCCACCTTCTTTTATAATACCTACAAGTTATAAACATACGTTCCATATTTCCAGTCTCCCAGATGGGGGAATTTGTCTTATACAAGCAGGAAATTTGGACTAAAATAGGGTGATGTTGTAAGAAGGGCGTCTCAAGTAATATATTTTCACCATTAATTCAGTAATTTCATTCTGATTTGAGTGACATTTGTAAACTATTTATTGAATATCGCTAAAATGTCTACTTATAATTAAATTCATAGTGACAAAAAGACCGCTTTTCATGTAATGATGAATCAATTTGTATCACATGAATACAGTAATGCCAATTATTGCAAAGATGAATTGATGACGATCTTAAATTTCATATTATTTGATAAGCATCATTGTTGCTTTAAACTACTTCATACCCCCATATATCACTTATTCACTTATTACTGATTTTTTCTCTTATTAATATACAAGCATGAAAATGTATGAAAATTTAAATCCACGGTAAATCAAAATACAGGTAATTCTTTATAGAAAATCAGAAATTTCTAATATTTTTACACATGGCACAAAAAAAGCAACCAGATGTGGTAAGGTATCTTACAGTGCATGCGCCAGTTTGGCTTCATTTGTTGTCGGAGACAGGCAATGCTGTTGTAACACATGACTGCAGCGTCCAGGGCATTGATCCCTTCCCACGGATAACCTGCAGCATGTGAGGCTTTCCCGGTATATGTTACCTGTATACTGTACATAACATACCAAAATTGATATATCAAAGTTACAAAAATGCGAAATTAACTAATCCAGCTAATGTTCGTTTATATATTTAAAAGTTAAAAAGTAACAAATAACATTTTTGCATTTAGCGTACGTATTGCTAGCTTAAGATAATAATGAACCAATTTTGTAAAAACAAATATCTTTGACCGATCTTGGCAGTTTTTTGTTTAAAAAGAAAACGAATACTTCTGGTAACTCGTTTACTTTTAGTTCTTGTAATATTGTTTTCTCCACTTTTCGAACATTTTCAAGTATGCAAAGGTGTATATCTGATGCAAAAAATATTGTTTGGATTTTAAAAAAGAATACTTCCAAAATGTTTGTATAAAATAAAAATGGCAATTAATTGCCTTAAAGCGAGTGGGGCATGCACAAAGTCATTGCTAAACGGATAAAACCCTACTTAAAATAGCAAAATAATATTTTGTTCCGGAACATTTTATTCTGTTTGCGTACATTTTTCATGTGTATTAAATAACAGAGACATTCTATGTTACAACTTTTTCGGGAATCAGCCATATAATAATGAAACCAATATAATGTTGATAAATTTTATAAAAATATTTCATAAGATATAGATTTAAACCCGTTAAAATTGAAGAATGTTGAATAAAAAATAAACAAAAATGTCGTTTGCATACGTTTCTCTTGAAAGCGCAATTGGCAAAACGTCATTGTCTGGGAACGGATGTGCCATCATAGCAATATCAATGTCTTCAAATGCACCTGCATTTATCAAATCTATTTTGCCACCGTAGCCTTCCTCTGCTGGCGTCCCTAGTACGGTTACCTAATCAAGAATGATACAAAACGCTTGTATTTTTACTTAGTATCTATGTTTTATCAATTGTTTGTATCATATACACATATTACTGTTGTAATTTCTACTGCTGATAAATTTTTCAAACACTTTTTAACGTTGTCGAATGTTATCAATGTGTTTAAAAAGAAAAAAAAACACGTCAAGGAAGAGAGTGTTGCTGGTTTTGTTAAAGTTAAATCTATAAAGGGTCATTAACCACAAATGCATTTGCTGATTCTCGACCAAATAATTTATGATATGGGCAGCTATATAGAATCTGATCATCATAGAAATAAATCTGACACTCAGTATATACAAGGAATATGTTATGTGAATATGATTTTCAAATAGATAATTTTACCTTTCCTTTTATATCATTGGAAGATTGCAGCGCAGCCATTAACCCTAGACCAGCTGCTACCCCGACCTCAGCTATCAAGTTATGACCGCACGCATGCCCAATGGACGGTAAGGCATCGTACTCGCTGATGAAAGCAATATTTGGCGTAGATGAGGTGCTAATAAATGTTGCCCGGAACGCAGTTTCCATTTTGTAAGACCTTTCAGTCTGAAATTTAAGGTGTTTTTTTTCAAAGTACAAATGTAATCAGTTAATGTAGATAACATTCTGTTATATCATCTCGTGTATCCCATCGGCAATGTATAAAACTAATGTTTATGCAATTGATGTATATGCACATTTGTGACTGTGACAACTAATAATTGACAAGCTATATAAACATGTTCAAATCGATTATTAAAAATAATCATACCTGAAAACCATGTTTCTCAAGGAACGTGGTAAGAAGTTTGTGAGCGTGTTTTTCTTCAAGTCCTAGCTCAGGATTGCTCCATATACTCCCACTGATCTCTTTCAGTTCTGGTGCAGCTCTGTCAATAGCATCACATGCAGTCTTTTTCGCCTTTTCTATAGCTGATTCCATGTGTAATGTATTATTTCGCAGCGTTCTTAATAAATCTACATTAAAACTAATCCGATTTACTTTTGCAAACAGAGATGTAGTATATATATATTTGATGTAATCGTGAACTGAAAACTATGTCACATATTCCATGAGATTATAATATTTTGATTGCACATATAGATCTACTTAAAAATGGAATGTCACGTTAGCTTAAGATAAAGATACAGCACTACGTGTTTATTTACGCATCTATTTATTTTCTCTATCACGAGTTAATTAAAACCCATTGGTTATATTAAACACAGTAAGAAGTTGTTCAAGTGTCTTTACGTACCGTTTTTTATCACTCCCAAATTATCCAATTTGAGTTGTGCATATGAATTAACGAGTCCTTATGATATGTAAGTGGATAGTGAAATTTTTTAGCAAGACATCCAAACCATTTGAAAACTCATTTTGTGTAAACATGATACAATGTATATAAATTATCATATGTTTTTATGACTTGGCAAAGCTTATGATCAAAGTTGTAAAATAAGTACATGTATAATTATGCTTCTTATCTGTAGCATACCACTTTTGATTGTAAATAATATTTCTAATAGACTGTCCAAAACTTTTTTCTCACGGATATTGATGTGAAACGTGAACTACACAAACAGGAGTATAAAATGTTATTTTTAGGAGAATTTTAATTGAATTTGGTATATTTGAATGCATGCTTGGGTAATTATAACAAGCGAGTGTATATATGTTATGCGAGTACATGTATATTTGAAGATTATCTGCACACATGTTTACAGTGTGTCTTACATATGTGTAGATATAAATGTATTAAAATTTCATAAAAGTATTGATGTTCCAATCTAAGCAGAATGTATGTTAATTTTACCTTCGAAAATAATAAATATGCAGATAACAAGCACACATTAATTTAAACCACTAACAGCGATCTCTGTAGCAAAGCAAAGGGGGGCCACTGCGTAGGTGTTTACAAATTTTGCCGCGTTGTGTCCCGTTTTATGTACCGTATACGAGCGGTACCACTAAAATACGCAACGGAGATTTTTTGGCGCAACGGACGCAACGGGCGCAACGGAGATATTTTTTTTTAAAAAACCGGCACAACGCCTTTTTTTAAAGTCAATGTGCTATATTTAAGCATCTAAAATGATTGTTTAGCACTATTAAGAAAGCATGTTTTAAAATGTTTCATAAATTGTATATGTCTAATGGCACTGAAGGGTTATATGCCTGGCGAAATGGAAATTTCATGGCGCAACGGAGATATTTTTTTTAGAAAAAACCGACACAACGCCTTTTTTAAAGTCAATATTGCTGAATTTGAGCATCTAAAATGATTGTTTAGCACTTTTAAGTAAGTATGTTTTAAAATGTTTCATAAATTGTATATGTTTACACTGAAGGATTATATATGCCTGGCGAAATGGAAATTTCATGGCGCAACGGAGATAATTTTGGAAAATCGGCACAATGTTTGTACTAATATATGAAATTAATTAACACCAATGTTATTTGAATAAATAAATTAAAAAAAAAATATTTAAAAAACTTAATCGTATATCAAATAATCAAATAGCTGCAATGTTGATGTTGTAAAGGGTAGTGTGCCGGAGAAATGGACATTTGGTCTGCGCAACGGAGATTTTTTTTTTTTTTTTTGGCGCAACGGAATTTAAAAAGAAAACAATGTTTGTCCTAATTAAGTTGTAATAAATTATGAAGAAGTAAATCATTAAAGATATTAACTGAATTACTCAAGTGGTGTAATAAAAGTCTGTTTTATTAATTTAAAAATGGAATTAAATACGTTTTTATCGTTATGGCTAACACTGAAAGACAAGTATGGATTTTACAATCTGTTTCATTTTTTCCCTTTCAATCTGTTAGTACTCGTTTAAATTTGATCCTATAATTTTTTAACTGTAAAAATTATTTTCTTATTTCTGCTGCCGGGAATTTTTAAGCAAATCACTTTATTTGTTAAAAGCATGACCAGTAGCAAGCAATTTGCTAACCATATTACATTATCTTTTTAATAATGATTGAAATATTTTATGCATTTTTAAAATTAAAAATAGTATAGTAACTATACAAAATATTAATTGTTTGATAAAGTTATTAAAATAGTAAAACGACATGCATGTTACTCAGAATTTGCTGTTCTTTCTATTGCCATTTTAAAACAGTAAAAAACATAAAATAATACTTCCCCGATCAGAAAACCCCGTTGAAATCAAATGCAGCTACTGTTTATTTAGCGAAACAACAGCAAATATGGTGATTTGAAGAATGTTTATCACGGGTGTTAAAGTACCGATAATTAAATTTACCAATGACACGTGGTTGATGTTTATTGGACACACGTTTTCACACCATTTAGAAAATGTGATTAAGAGGAACATGTATTGACTTTAAGGTATTAAAATATTTTTTCTATAACTTGTTATTGTCGAAAATATTGCCTTTGAAGCTTATAAGCCAATATTTCACTCAAACTATGAGAAAAAATGGTATATGAAATGTGAGACGTAAATAAAACTTTTTGGAGTCTGAATCCACCACTGATGACGGTCAAGTTTTCTATTACAAGTGTTAAAAACATTATTAAACACCCGTGCCATACACGTGCACGATACGTTGCTAATTGCTAACAATTCTCGTGTAATTGATTACCTTTTGTCAATATCATAATTATGAAATATTTGGATTGCTTTTGATGAAATATACAATGTATACGCAACAAACAATTATTGAAAAAGTACACAATGATTAATGAAAGATAATAAATTAATAAAATAATATAATATGATAAAACTGTTATGATAATCCCCGTTGCGCCGAAATAGTCCAATTTGCCGTAATTTAAATATCTTTTACAATATCCTATTTTCAACATTCAACTTGTTATTGTCGAAAATATTACAATTGTTAAAAGCATTAAACACCCGTGCCATACACGTGCCTATGCATTGCTAATTGCTAACAATTCTCGCGTAATTGATTACCTTTTGTCAATATCATAATTATGAAATATTTTGATTGCTTTTGATGAAATATACAATGTAAACACAACAAACAATTATTGAAAAAGTACACAATGATTAATGAAAGATAATAAATTAATAAAATAATATAATATGATAAAATTGTTATGATAATCCCCGTTGCGCCGAAATGTGTCCATTTCGCCGTAATTTAAATATCTTACAATATCCTATTTTCAACATTTTCTAAAATAAAGGAAAGTAAATCATTTTTAAAAGACTGTTACTTATTATTCTCAAATTCTTAAGTTATGTTCAAACATAAGATCTACCCATTATGCAAATCTTCATTTTCCGTTGCGCCGAAATTATATCCATTTCGCCGTCCATTTAAAATCTGATATATTCAGTATTCTACCTAATAAAATCAAAACTTATACAGTATATGTAAAAATGTGTATCAACAATACCAACTTATATGATTATTTTATGTTTTAGACATAAAAAAAACAGTACAAAGTTTTGAAAATAAAATCTCCGTTTCGCAATAATCCATCGGCACAACGGAGTTTATGAAAGGTATTACAACAATACAAGTATCTTATCTTAATAAACTATCTTATCTTACAATGAATGTTTATAATCAAAAAAAAATACTGAACATTGATTCTGTAATATCAACATATGACTTTATTTAGTATATACTAATGCAAATTCATTTAAAAAGTATGTATAGAAAAGCTATCACAGTACTTTTCGTAAAAATAACAAATTGAACAGGAAAAAAATGAACAGATTTGTAAAAATCCATACTTGTCTTCCAGTGTCAGCCATAACGATAAAAAACGTATTTAATTCCATTTTTAAATTAATAAAACAGACTTTATTACACCTCTTCAGTTATTCAGTTAATATCTTTTAATGATTTACTTCTTCATATTACTACTTAATAAGGCCATTTAAAATTCCGTTGCGCCAACAAAAAAAAATCTCCGTTTGCGTAGACCAAATGTCCATTTCGCCGCACACAATCCTTTACAACATCAACATTGCAGCTATTTTTGATTATTTGATATACGATAAAGGTTTTAGATTTTTTTTTAAATTTATTTATTCATATTAACATTGGTGTTAATTAATTTCATATATTAGTACAAACGTTGTGCCGATTTTTCCAAAATTATCTCCGTTGCGCTATGAAATTTCCATTTCGCCAGGCATATATAATCCTTCAGTTAAAACATATACAATTTATGAAACATTTTAAAACATACTTACTTTAAAAAGTGCTAAACAATCATTTTTAGATGCTCAAATTCAGCAATATTGACTTTAAAAAAAGGCGTTGTGTCGGTTTTTTCTAAAAAAAAAATATCTCCGTTGCGCCATGAAATTTCCATTTCGCCAGGCATATAACCCTTCAGTCGCCATTAGACATATTACAATTGATGAAACATTTTAAAACATACTTACTTAATAGAGCTAAAACAATCATTTTAGATGCCTTAAATATAACACATTGACTTTAAAAAAAAGCGTTGTGCCGGTTTTTCTAAAAAAATATCTCCGTTGCGCCCGTTGCGTCCGTTGCGCCAAAAAATCTCCGTTGCGTATTTTAGTGGTACCCGTATACGAGCGTTTATCAAATTGCACCGAAGTATTCCGAAAGCGGATCATGTGACGTTTTGTAATGTAAACAAACCGGTCACAAACTATTAGAAGTTACTAGGAACAATGAAACTCTTGATTGCTATTGTGTTGTTCGTTTACTCACTTGCACAGGGAGAAAGATACACTCCAACATGGGAAAGCATTGATGCAAGACCGCTGCCATCGTGGTATGATGAATCAAAACTCGGAATCTTTGTTCACTGGGGTATATTTTCTGTTCCCAGTTTTTCTTCAGAATGGTTTTGGCATGACTGGAAAATGTCAAAACTTCCGGGAATTGAACAGTTCATGCAAGAAAATTACAAACCAGGTTTTACATATCCAGATTTTGCAAAGGACTTTTCAACAGAATTTTTCTTTGCCGATCAATGGGCAAGAATATTCAATTCATCAGGTGCCAGGTAAGAGGCATTATATGATATGATGTAGACAATAGTCTTTGCATTGAAGGAGTCTAGGTATACTATAATGAGAAAGTGTACTAGATGAATAATTTTTTTATGTGAAAATTTAGATACTGACCTGCTGACATGTTCGGCCAGGCATTAGGCTGGCCAAGTTACGGCCCATGGGCGGGTTCCCGAGGGACAGATATTTCGAACCGCAAATGTGTCAGATACTTTTTTCTTGCATATTCTACCATATTCAATTATATTTTTTAAATTCTTTACTTTAATATGACAATTTTCCATGGAAATTTAGGTCATTACACACGTAACTCTTTTCTTACAACAACATATGAAATTACAACTTCATTCACAATGGTAAAATTACGTTATCCTTAGCATGCCATTGTATAGCACGCGACTCATCTGGCACCCCCCATGCCAGATGAAATTTCAAGCAAGGGTAAAAGAAACGGAAACGCCAGACTGATATTCAAGAATATTAATTCTCAATGGGTAAAATTTGTTTGGGTTATTTTGATATTTTTTATTGGTTATTTATTATTTGTTTTTCTATCATGGAGCTAAATATAGGTGTATGAATATCTTGGTTCTTTGAATAACAGCTAAATCTAAAGAAGATATAATTTTAATATTAAAGTTTTATTTTGACAGATATGTTGTATTTGTGAGTAAACATCATGAGGGATATTCAAACTATCCCTCCAAATATTCCTTTAGTTGGAACTCCATGGATGTTGGACCTCAGAGGGACATTGTTGGTAATTATAGATTCAATTATTATGAAATTACAGACTAAAATCAAACTAATATGTCTTACTCTATGAAAATTATCATTAATATAGTAGAAAACATACAATTAATAAAAGTCGGGTCATCCTTGATTGAAATAAAAATAATGCAGAGTTTCTGCTGCAATTTGCTAGTTCCAAAAATGGCGAAAAAAATATTTGGAAGTGGCAGAAAAAACCCCCAAAGAGCATATTTTTCTTATGTATATTTAAAAAAACAACAAATTACCATTATTGACCGCATAAAATATTTCAGGTGAGCTTGCAGACGCTGTGCGCAGTGGAACTAACATGCATTTTGGTCTTTACCACTCACAATATGAATGGTTCAATCCCCTCTGGCAGAACGACAAGGCAGATAACTTCACCACACAAGACTTTGTGAAAGTATGTATCATATGATAACTTCACCACACAAGACTTTGTTAATGTATGTACCAAATGATATCATTATATGCTAAACAATTTTTAACGATTCATTTCTGCCATGCTTTGAAGTTAGAAAAGTCCCTTAAAGACTTTTATATATAAAATTACGTTTGTTTTTTGAAAGAATGGGCTTAGAAGACTTCTCAAAAACACATCTGATGATTTTGGTAACGGGTTTTTGTTTGCCCCTAACAACATTGGGCTAGTGATCATGTTATTATATCTGTGTTATCTGCAGCTTATTTTCCTATTTGTACTTTTATAGAGAAAATGAACTTTTTCAGAGACCATCTGAAAAACAAAAAATTTTTTTTTTTTTTTTTTTTTTTTTTTAAAAGTGTTCACCCTGCTGTTTACAAAAATTTAAAGAAACTTTGGGACGGAACGATACGCGGGGAGAATGTTTTTTAATTTTCTAAAACAACAGTCCCAGTGAATACTAACATACATGTACTTAGTGACAAGCTTTATTTGGCTTTATAATATTGACTTTATTACAGCACAACTATTTTATGAACGCGGTTCTATGACATACTATGAAAAATAGAAGGCGACTATGCATTGAATTTGAAATAGTATCGACTTGTTCTTCTATGGAAATTAACAAACAGAATTTTTAAGAAATACAGTGTTTTCATTGGATGACACTTAAGATTATTTTAGATACACAAAGATCTTTTTTTATGCACAAAGACATTTTATAAACACAAAAAGAGTTATACATAATTAAACAATAATTTTACAAACATATATATATATAGGCAAAGATCATTTTGTATACACAGGGATTACTTTATATGCATGAAAATCATTTTATATTCATTTAAGTATATGCACCAAAATCATTTTCTATACAAAAAAAAAATATTCATTAAAAATTCTAATCTTAGTTATACTGACATTATATGATTGTATCTTTTCAGTTCATTCTTACATGCCATTACAAGTTTAGATGTAAAAACATTTGAAACAAAAATATCTTTCAGATCTTTTTTCTCCCTATCTTCATTGATATTTTTATGAATTATAAACAACAAATGTGCAAATAATTATTTGAAGGCAATCATTTGTCAAAGGAGAACCTCATATTAATTACAAATGATATTGGAGAACATGTATTTGTGGAAGTTTAATTGTCATTTATTGACACTATGTTACAAGTTATCAATTTCATAACATAAAGAATCATTTGTTTACATAATTAGATAACAGTTTAATCATTTATCTTAAGACACTTATGGAAAGTGAAATAATATTTGATAAACTGATAGGTAGATAATTATTGATAGTGTTATACAACATACACCTCAGTGCAGTAACAGGTTAACTCCTGTTGAATTTTATAAGGAGTTAACCTGTTACTGCACTAACTATGACATAACTTAGTTTTTTACGTACATGTATTTGCCACAATGCAAGTCTTTACTATTAATGATGAGGCAAATCAGGTTTTGTCAAGACTACACTATAGGTAGCCCAGGTTTGATCCCTTAATCCTTTAAATAACAAAAAACAGTGTCAATGCAGAAATAGACTGTTGCACTATCTAAGTAAATGAAGAGTCTAATCTGTTAGTCAGATATCATATATTGCTCTGATTAAAATTGTACAAATATGGATTGAGAAGCTATGAAATTCTAGATACCTGGATAAAAGTGGTAGAAGGGTGGGGTAGGGGTCGAGCAATGGACACATGATATGGAGGTTGTCTTTTGATTCATACCAGATTTGAGATTTTATTTTGGCTTTATAAATTAAAACTGGTGCAAATACTGGCCTTTGTCCCTTAAAACGGGATTAGACATTAATGGAAAAAGAATCATATCAAAAGAAAGAGTTAAATTTGTTAATTTGATTTCAGCATCTCACAACAAAGAAAATCTTGATGAATGTCCCATATATCTTGGAAAAAATTAATTATCATGCTTTACATTATATTTCCACTTTTACAGTACAAGACATTGCCCGAGTGGTATGAAATAGTGAACAAGTATCAGCCTGACATTATTTGGTCAGATGGTGACTGGGAGGCCACTGATGACTACTGGCAGGCCAAAGAGTTTATTGCCTGGTTGTATAATGATAGGTAAGACACTGTGATGTTGCCAGATTGCCATCTGTTTAACTACATGATAGGTTATACCCAGTGAAATTACAAATATACTCTTTTGCCATCTGTTACAGAAGTACAGATTATACCCAGTGAAATAACAAGTTAACTTTTTCTGACATCTCTATAAATTTTCTGACATCTCTATAAATTCTTTGACTTTTACACGAGCTCAGGTTATGCTGTGATAAACTAATCTAAGCTGGCTTGAAATAAATAAGGGTTTGGGCCCAAAAAACTGATCCTTTATTGAACATTTTTAATTTTAAGTTTTAGGTTTTGATTTTTAGTCTTTTCAGGGGCAGTAGTTTTTAAGTGATTTGTTTCTTTTTAAAAACAATAAAAAAATTATATTTTTAGTACTTATATTTTGTTTTCCCTAAAATAAAAACAAATCCCCCAAAAAAATTAGTTGAATGTTTTTTGGGTTTTGTGAGATACATTACCAGATATGACACACATTTATAAAAAACAAAATGAGTCGCGTCACGAAAAAAACAACATAATGGGTTTGCGACCAGCATGGATCCAGACCAGCCTGCGCATCTGCGCAGTCTGATCAGGATCCATGCTGTTCACTTACCAACCCTTTTACAAGTAGAGAAACTGATAGCGAACAGCATGGATCCTGATCAGACTGCGCGGATGCGCAGGCTGGTCTGGATCCATGCTGGTCGCAAACGCACTATGTTGGTTTTGTCGTGACGCGGCTCAAATGTTATAATAATATAAATCAATGCTCACTTAAAGTCACTCAAAACTGTATCAACATTTTTTTATAAGAATATCAAAACAATAAAAATGGAAAATGTGCCCATGGTAGACCAATCCGCTTTAATTTGTTAAAGCAGGACAAAATTTAAGGAAACTTTTAGAATGTTAACTTTATTTTATACAAAATTTGGTTTAAAAATATTAAAAACAGGACATTTTATCTGTACTGATTTTGTACTACATGTATAAAGTTTATCTGATTTTGATGTCTAGTGTTTCTGTTTCAGTCCAGTGAAAGATAAGATAGTGATCAATGACCGATGGGGAAATGGTATCGGTTGTCGACATGGTGGTTTCTATACATGTGGTGACAGGTATAATCCTGGTATGACTCATCATTGTTTACTATTCGCCTTATTTTTGTTTACATACCCAGCTTTTCTTATGTAAATCATCGTTAGATAATGATATTGTGACAGGTCAAAGTTCAAAGATAAACTTTAATCATAATCTAGATAATCATGGTCAACAGACTCTTCAATAATAAGTGTTATGCATTCATTCTGGACAAAAAAATGCAGTTCGTATGCACTTCTCCTTGTCCCTAAACACTTCTCCCTATTTTCACTGGAGGGAGAAGCACTTCTCCCCAAAATTTTTGGTCTAAACGTGAAACCCCCGAAGTGGAGAAAACTTTTACATCAGTTTATGAAAAATAAAATTTTTCTTTTAAAATTTTATAATGTTAATTTTTTTGGGGGTTTATATTAAAGGGTAACTTTCTATTAATCATATTCTCCTGACGGCCAAAAATAACCCTATACACATTTAAACATTCAAAACCAAGATCAATTGGGACATCCCTTTTGCTGCCCAATCTGGATCATGGTTTGCATTGTTTGTATTTAGTTTAAATATTATTTTTTAAAAATGTGCCTAAAATTGATGGGAAAGTTTTAGTCAGGGTTTAAAAGATGGGCAAGGGCCAAATTTTAAAAACATTAAGCATGAAATGGGGTAACAAAAAAATCTATTAAATCCTGGGAAAAAAAACCCTTTAAAAAAAAACCCTTTTTCGTATGTACAGTATTGACAACCAAATTTTAAAAAAACACAAGTTTATTTCTCCCCAAATTTTCCCCAAGAATGATTTAAAATTATTAAAACACTTTTGATTATGTATTAAAATTTTTCGTTTTTCATATTTACAGGTCATTTGGTCCACATTTAAAAGGGAGAAAAGCCATGACCATAGACAAATATTCCCTTGGGTGGTACCCACGAAATTTCCCCGGGTTCTTTTTTTTTCTCTCCATTTGGGTCAGCTGGGTCAAACGCTTTTTTAAAAACCCGTCAAATTTTTGCCCCCGGTTTTAAAATTTTTAAAAAACCAAATAAAAAAAGATATTTTAAATTTCCGTACTAGTCTAGTTTTAAAAAAAGGCCATTAAAATTTTCTCAATGTTTTATTAAGGAAAACCCAAACCATAAAACAACCTTTACCTTGAGGTTTATAAATTTTTTCTGAGGGCTGTTTGGGTTTCTCAGGAATTTCATTGGTCATTTTCAAAATAAATACATATTGAATTGATCAGATAGCACATACCTATTTGAGCTGTTTCTTACAATCTTGACTTCTTATCGAAGACCTTTAATACCCATTCGTAAGCATAAGCACATAACACTGTTAAGGATTTTGACGTTATAATGCTTTTATTCCCGTATCAAGACATGTGAAAAGTTGAACATGCACTCCTTCAGAAATCTCTTGTTTCTCCCTGCAGCTGCGGTGGTAATATGTTACTGAATGTCGGTCCTCGTAAGGATGGTATAATCGACCCACTTATGCAAGAGAGGTTACAGCAGATGGGAGAATGGATGAATCTAAATGGAGAGGCAATATATGGTACCCGGCCCTGGACATACCAGAATGATTCAGTCAACCCAGATGTTTGGTGAGTGTACCTTGTATTAGATTATAATTATATTTTGTTCATAATCATACACAGTACATAATATACTTGCATTCAATATATACAATTGTGAAATGGGTTAGAACAAGAGATATGAAATCTTAAAAAGTTCTTCTTCAATTGTTTTAGTTTGATTGTGTTGGAAGCTAAATGAAACACTCAAATCTGTTCCTGGAACCAACCAGTACTAAGCAAAGTGAAAAGTTTCTTGTTCATGGAAACAAAAGGCTTGCCCTTGTTGGGGTTTGAACCAATTTGGTCAGCAATCCTTCGGTCACTAGTATGATGTGTTAACCAGCGGGCCACACTGCCATCCCTTGTATTAATTTACCAAAATTTTTTATAAAACAAACATTTTGAATGTTTCATGGAATGATTGTAAAACTTCTTTTCTTATGCATTTTTTTTATCTTAGACAAAAACAAAAGTAAATATAAACTGTATTTTTCATTTTCTACTAGAATTCTTTTGTTTTCTCTTTTGTCTAGGATACTTTAAGTTCAAGGACTTTTTAAGCGTAGAAGAGACTGAAAGATTTTTATATGCATCCAAGTTACAGGTTGTTCCCATTAATCATATATTTGCTGATGCAATTACTTTTCTTAGGTCCCAAACAAGGCAGAAGTGGAAATATACTATACCAGTAGATACTTGGTTGAAAAAATTAAATAGTGGCATTTAAAATTTATATATATATATATTTATATTGAAAGTAATAGTTCAAACTGCACAATATAAGAGTACTGTTATGTTGTTAATGTATATGTTGACATAATTGTAAGAGTTATATTAAGTATATTTTCTATGGCAGGTATACAAACAAAACAACAAATGGCGTAACTGTTGTCTACGCGATTTCACTAGTATGGCCAAATAATGGTTCCCTGCATATTGCATCTCCATTTCCGTCAGTATCAACCACAGTTGTTTCCCTACTCGGCTACGAGAACAAGCTAAGCTGGAGCCTGGCTTATCCAAAGGGAATGATAATAGAACTACCAAAGTTAGCTCCAAGCCAGGTACCAGGCCAGTGGGCGTGGGTGTTTAAACTGGAGGGACTCATCAAGGAGGAGCGGAAGGAACCATTCAGGATGCCGAAGTTTAACGTCAACAAACCTCCACATCCACATTACTACCCTGACGTCACCTATAATTAACTTGTGTGGAAGTTGTTTGATAAATTTGTACTGAAGTTGTTAATTTATGTGCTCAAAATATGATTAAATAAATTGTTACTTTAGCTTCTGTTTTTCCCTAATGTTAGCATTAATTGATGTGATAAAAATTACGGTATGTTGGCTTGTGGAAAGTCAGCATATTTTCAACACTGTCTAATTTTTACAAATACCAAGTAAGTGTCAAAATGACTAGAATTGACTTAAATTTGTATCAACTGGAAACCAATATCATAAGCAAAAAGTGGCGAAGTTGACTATTTAATAATTATACATGAGCTATGAAAAGATGGAATACAACTGTACTTTAATGTTTGTTCCGGAAAAACAAATTGTTAAAAGAATATCACATTTACTGTTTTATAAATATTTAATATAGGTTTATTTTGTTCAATATTTATCACAATTTACATATTTTTGAGAACACACCTTTTGAGAATTAACCTTAAACTTAGATTTTTCTATAAAAAAGTGCTTATGAATTTATATTTTTTAAGGTAAAATCCATTCAATTTTTCAAAGTTTAAAGATACAAACTTATTTTTATCTTCATCAGCTCAATTGGTTGTTAGACAGGTAAACTTTCAATCTGTGGATAATAGGTAGATTTACGTAGATGGGATTTCACCAAGTATGTGCATGGGTACAAGTCTTCATGCATTTGCCTGAAGATAGGTTTAATCTATACTCCTGAAAGCTCTCTATCTATATGAAAACCAATTGAAATAACACTAAATTAAGGGTTTTCATGTTTTCTGATATATTTAACTAGCACCCATGTATGTGTATGCATATAAATCACATGATGAGAACTCTTGTTTCATAATCTGATGACCGTTTTATATATATTTATATATGTCGTTTTTATGAAAAGTTTACCTCAACAGTTGCAATATTGACATGTGGTGCAACATTTTGTAATCCATTTTAACTCTGTGATAGAAGAGTCTAAGATTGCTTGATAATGATGAATGTTCATTGGCTGAAAAGCTTATGATAAAAGTTAGCCATTATTAACATAGCATGGATGCACTTGATGTAATATGAAAGGTCTGTGAGGTGTGTAAGTAATAATTTTTGGCTAAAGGAAAAATATTTGGCATAAAAATGCTTTATACTGCCTTAATGAATTTGTATATTTACTATAAATGTTATTTATTTGTAGAACTTTCACTTTGAAATGTAACAAATGCTGCCTGAAATTACCATTTGACTTACTATAAATTATCTTGAGTTACCATTTGGCATAGAAAATGTAGTTCACTTTGTACCTTGAATTACCAATTGGCTTTACAAATGCTATACATTACATTAAATTACTATTTGGCTTTACAAATGCTCTACATTACCTTGAATTACCATTTGGTTTTAAAAATGCTATGTACTACCTTAAATTACCATTTGGCTTTTAAAATGTTATATTCTACCTCAGAAGGAGGATGTATCTTAAAAAATTGAATTTTGAACGAAAACATTCCAAATACCACCATTAGTGTAAGTAATATATGTTGATATTTATATATGTAGAATGAGAACAATGTTTAGCCTGTTCTCCAAATATGTTTTGTTACTAAAGATTTCCATTGTACTATCCTTTCACTTTTTCTTTACACTCAAGTTCTTATCTAGTCTTTTACTAGTTTTAACCTTACAATTCATGTGTTCAAAAATTGTGCTTACAGTCACACCTGTGTTCAATAACTGTTTGAATAAGTGTACCGTTTTAATCAAAATAGTAAGTTATTAAAGGGACTGACTCTAGTGAGAATTTTTCGCATAACAGGAGTGGAAATATTTTTTTCAAGGCTTTTATATCATTTGATGTACTTCTATACCAATAAGTTGTGTGCAAAGTTTCAGACCATTTGTTAAATCTGTTTTTCTACAGTAATAATTTTCAAAGTGCAAAATGATCGAAAAAATGAACAGCATTTATTAAAATACTTTTAACTCTAATCGGCTTTGAATTACACTAAATATCAATTTTATTAGAGTATGTTTCATTATTATCTGTTTCATATGGTTCATTTTAAGTTAAGCTAAAATAAGGTTTCATTATATATTGAACCTCAGTGGAGCTCCTTTAAAGTAAAGATGATATATTGAATTTGTGCGTGTGTCCGAGTGCCAGCCACCATGACTTGCCAATGCCTAGGTCAGACTTTCAGTATGCATTTGATGTATGTTAGAAATATGTACTGTAATTTTCTAAATATTTAGAATTTTGATACATGTATTGTAATCCCTCTAATTGAAAATGGACCAATCCAAATCAAAGCAGGGCAAGTCAATTTACACATATATTCGGCAGGGTAAAGGTTAAAGTGAACTATATAAATTATATCAGCTATTGAAAGACTGTCTTCCATTTACAAACACTGCTATTAATGTTCTTTTCATTACATGCAGGTATTTATTTTATGTCATGTGACATAGTGTTGTAAAAAAGATAAAGGAAGTTTTTGCTGTATTAAATACGTTAGAATTCAGAATAATTGCATTTAGGTGTATTTTTTTAGTTTGACATTAAAGACAGTTGATCTGACTGAATAGAATTAAAAATCAAAATAGTTTAATATTTATTCCTATGATTACTTATTACATATTTTCTGTAATAAATGTATAAAAAATTCTTTGAGAATGTTATATTTTCCCCATGTATTCTTTCATTATCATTTTTTTTAGATAAATTCTTTAAGTATTTAGGCGACCCATATGTATGCCACAAACTAGCAGTTTTAATCATAACTGGATTCGTTTCAAATGTAAACGCAAAAGTTTGCAATCATGGTCTGTATAAAGTGCATACAGTATTTAACGTCTGGCATAAACCTTAGCTGTGGAAACTGATTGGCAATTCAGTATATGTTACTTTTTTTTATAAAAATTCAGGAATTCATTGACCCCCTCGCATGTATAAATCTCGCAGCAGCTACCGACTCACCCTTCAAACGACTCACACGCAGCCCTCCAAACGACACACACGCACGCACACATGCGCGCGCGTTCACAATCTGGCAGTGACTGACATAAACTTGTCGGAAGTAAATATCAAATCCGTGACTTTAAGGCAAGTTCTTGTGCCGATACATAATTGATTATTTTATTAATACAATTTTTTCTGACTTCGATCATGTGAGAAGTCAGATCATGTATTGGGGATTTCTCTACTATATAGAAATCCCCACCTGTATCATAATGATATCAAGTATAGGATAGATCACGTAAAATCGTTTTCTATGACATATATGAGACGTTGCTTTGCCTGAATATCCGAATCCAAATTCTCAAAATCCCTCTCGAAGCATGCGAGGAGAGGGTAAGACATCCAAAGAACCAAGAACAATTGGTTAACCCGTCTTGACTACTAGTAACTCGGGAGGATGCGGTTTCTGGAAAGATGCAAAGAGGCTAAAAAAGGCTCGTTTTGGCTTCTTCTGTCATCATCATATATATATTGACTGTTATAAAAGAAGGAAGGTGCTTGCATGAATTCGTAGTATTATACTGCTCCATTTTTGTTAAAGATAATATTCGTCAAAAGGGAATACAAATCCCATATGTAAACTATTGTTGTTGTTGTTGTTGTTGTTGTCGTCGTCATTTTGTGTTGGATCGTGTGTGGTGTCTTTTTACCTATTTATTATTACTACTACATGTAATGTATTTTATTTAATAATAATTATTAGTAATAGTAGTATTTCCCTTTTTTTTATTTGTATTACAAAATGCACTTTTTTATTTGACGGAGAACACGTGTTTTTATTCAGTAAATTTACATCATAATTTTCTTTTAAAGCGTTTCCCCATTTTTATAACGCAGTTGTATAGAGTGTAAACTTTTCAAAATCGATATTCAATCAAATATTCGTTCAAAGCATCGTTCAATTTAGTAAATAATGTTTACACCCATAAATATTTATTTATATACATATCCAGGTCACCTGTTTACTTTTCATTTGGATATATATTATTTATTTCTCGGTCAAATAACTAAATTGCTTCTTAAACTTTAGAAATGAAAAACGCTCTCATATTGTTTCTTTTCGGAGTAACAAATATAAGTGAGTATAGACTTTTAATTAGCATTTGTAACTTTTTATTTCTTTCGTATCACATTATTAGCGACGCAATTCAAAATGTAATGTTCGATGTACTGTATAAGAAGAGAAAAAAAATATCTGTATTACATGTTAACAAAATTTAACTAAAAAATCGACCTAAAATTAAGTTACTGACTACCTTATAAGTCATTATGAAAAATATTAGACACACGTTATATAGGGCTATAGCCATAATATTAAAAATTTGGGAACCAGGAAGCTGAGAATGCCGGGAAACTGTTAGATCAGTCATCGCTACTTAATTGGAACATTTATTTTGTAGACAAGCCATATATATGCACTTCAAAAGTATTCTGCATAAGGGGCCTTTCTATTGTCAATAATATTTTAAATGCTTTGGTCGACAGTGTCAAATGCAACACTCAGATCAAAAGCAATCATACGATGACGTTCTGGTGTTCCATCATTAACAAGTCTAAGGACAGACTCGCATTAGTGGAACTGGCGAAATGCCGACTGATTAATTTTCGCTTACATTCTCATTCAGTCGGTAGAGTGCGGCTTTTTCTATCAATTTTTATATGAACTCTGCCGTTTGTCGTCAAGAGTGTTCTCGTTGTTCACAGGAGGCATAGATTTTTCAGACTTGCACAATCTGATAAAGAATTTTTGATTCACCTTTTGATTCAATTACCTTTTTACTAAGAGTTTGGCATTTTCCCCTTTTTAGAGCAGAGTGAAATTTAAATATATAGTCACATGACTGCCTGTGTAATCTCCAAAATCTTTCTGATCGACGCATCACTCGCTCCACGAACATTATACTTTCAGTGAACCAGGGTTTGGGTGTTCTATAAATTTGTATTTTCTCTTTTCTCTTTAATGGATGAATGCGTATTTAGTATGTTTTCAATCTCGTTTTCAAACTGATTTACAAATCCATCCACCGAATCATTACTTATTGTCATTTCACTCAGCACTCAGATCTTTTGCAAACGCTTACTCATATCCATGTTGGTTTTTTTTTTAATCACGATATGAGACATATTTCCTATCAGTGTTCTCCTTCTTAACAATGATTCATAAAAACGAAGCCTGTTAATTAACATGAAAGTGAATCAATGTCGTTCGCAAGTTCCGTGACCACAAGGTCAATGACCCTCAATGTGCGTAGAGAAATCTAAATGCTGTTGCAATCCAAGAGCGGCCAGAGAATTGTTGAAATTCAAAACAGCACTGTTATCGTCATTTATGTGTAAATTGAAATCACCCATGATTGAAATGTTAGAATATTTTGGTAATATGTTCTCCATAAATGAAAAGAATTCATTTACAAATTGATTCGGTGTTGCTAATTTTGGGGGTCGATATATACCAACACAATTTAAGGTTATGTTTTTGAAAACTAATTGCCAAACGCCAAATTCAAAGCTAGTTTTTGCAGGTGATAGTAGTCTACGCATATTTATATCACTTCGACAAGTAAGTGCGACACCACCACCCGATCTATTTTGCCGATTTGCTACGCTAATTTTTGTAGGCATTTTGATTAAAAGTCAGAAGTCAGAAATCCGAGTAACACGTCTCTGTAAGAATAACAAAATCAGCTTTTGTTCTGGAAGCTCATATATCAAGATGAAGTTTCTTTTAAAATATTTTTTTTTAATTTTGCATAGTATACATGGATGTGCTAAAATGAGCAATGTTTTTTTAAAACTATTTCTAGAATTTGGAGGAGCCTGGGATTACTGTAGAAACAATGGTGAAAATGGAGGTTATATCTATTGTGAGACCGACTGTTGTGGATCCTGGCCGTATGAGAAATGTTGCGATGACAGAGCATGGCTCGGTTGGGCAATAGCTGGAGGGGTCATAGGTGGAATACTTCTGATAAGTTTAATTGTATGTGTCGTCTGCGTCTGTATAAAACAAAACGGGAAGACAGGCCGAATTGTACAGCCTCAGCCAGGTAAGGTTTCTATCTGTGGTAGTGCGTTCTTTAAAGGCAAATTATGCCTCAGAAATCTGTATATAAATGTCAAACATGTGTTTAATGTTTTAATAATGGATTTAGAGGACGTTAGTTGTTTAACAGCTGTAGAAAGTGGTGCTAAATGTGCAGTAATGTGTCGTAAAGATAGCAAAGTTTTTTTCTTCCATACAAAATTGTCAACTGACTATTGACCAATTGCCAACAAAGCGAAAGAAGTAAAGATAGTTCATCTATAAACTACTTTTTTATCTTTCTTACTATTTCTTTTTTTTTGGGGGGGGGGGGGAGAGAGGGTACTTTAACAAGATGCAAAAAAACTTTAAAAAGTTTTTGTGAAATAAAAATGATAGCATTTCTGAGGCATATGATTCTGGACCTAAAATTAAACGGCTTGGGTTCATGAATGAGAGCATTATTAAAGCGCAGAATTTTAATTCTTTTCGAGAAATAAGGAACAATGATTGGAACCGTTCAAGATATATACCATAAACCTGCCAATTGGCTTAAAAAATACTCGTGTAATGTCCCGGAAGTCTCAAGGAAAATGTGTTTATACTGTCAAATACATGTACGCCATTCTACATCCACAATTTGGAATGAATGTAAAAAAATTCAAGCGTTTAGACAATATTTCACATATTTTTTTCCTAAAATGATTGTACATTTTTAATTTTAATCTTTTCAGCAAGCAAGCTCTCCTATTTGAGCTTGTAGAGTTGATCATTCAATAAAATTGTACGTTTGCACTAATGCACGCATTGTCTGACGTAATATGTACATAATGCTTTTTATATAAATATGACTATGAAATTTCATTCCTTCTTTAAAAACTTAGTTACAAAAGATGTACGGCGACTTTGATGCTTTGCATCATAATTAATCCTTTACTTTCTGGACTGGAAAATCATTTTAATACTTGGATGCAGTATTCCAGATAACAAATTGTCAGTAACAATGTCACTGGAACTCGTCAAAATCTGTTCCATGGGCGTTTGTTGTTTGTTTGTTTTAAAGTTTCTTCACTTTGTATACACACCGTATATCTATATTTTAATTATTTCTATGAACATACAAAAATACAATTTTTCAATTCGTGAAAAACATTCAAACCTGATTATCTTTGTTTTAATGTGAATTTTTTAATTTAATGAAAATATTTTAAAAAAGAATTCGTTTTGTTTCAGTATCAACGGTTTCATACATTACAAACAACCCACAGAATCAAGCATTCCAAACACAATACGTAACAATTGGCTTTTCACAACAATCTTCTGCACCGGGTCAACCTCCGCCAGCGTATCCTTCAGCACCGGACCTGCTTCCTGCATATCATTCCGCACCGGACCTGCCCCCAGCATATCAGTCGTTATACGGACAACAACAACAACAACAGCATCCGCCTCCGCTTCCCCCGTCATTACAAGGGCGGCAACAGCAACAGCAACAACAAAATACTCTAACACCTATAGGTTTTGAAGGACGTTGATTTTATTTTAACCATGTAATAAATCTTGCTTTGAACTTATAAGCGTCTTTCGATCAATTGCTTATTTACCATAAGAATAAATAAAGACAATAATTTAAATTGTGCAGTTATTTTACGAGTGGAAAATAAAAGTGCATGTACTTAGGCTTGCTTAAGACACGTTCAATACTAATTATGAATTCCTATATACAAAACTATGCAAAAATAGCGTTTACTTCCTCGGTTCTAGTAGAAACAAGGTGAAAAAGGAAAAAAATTGAAATTATTCTTTTGATACTCGCAGACAAATTATTGGTCTAGACCTACATCAAAAGGAACATTCATCTGGTAAATTATTTCTAGCCCGTCATGTCAAAAAGCCTCAATGGAGTCCCTTTTAATTATGACTTAAAGCAATCTCCAAGGGCTCGCAAATAAGTCAAAATGGCCTCATATGTCAACGCAAGTTTTTAAGGCAACGCAAATATGTTAACAAGTTTCATGGTTATGAAAATTTTTAATCGAGGTTGAAACATGTGTGATATAAAAACATTGCCTGTCATTTTTCTGGAGTCACAGAAATGAACTATCTTTGCACAGACTTTTAGGGATGTCACAGTCCGTATAACATAGCTTACAATTTAAATAACACACCATTGCTTCTCAAAATTATGTCCTTCACTTAGAAGGGTATACCTCCATAGGTTTTTTTAATCATGGAAATTCACTCAAACTTTTTCAAGACAAAACGTTTCAGAAGACGCATGGCTTGTGAAGAGAGGAAGAACATTGTTATATGACAGAGTTAATGGTGGCCGGTAGCTTCCATTTTACAGCCTCTCAGTTTATAAAATATCGCTAGCACCTTTTTTTTAAATTTGCGAGATTTTATGTCGAAATTGTATCAAATATCGCGGCTTATAGAAACTCTTGAGTTTTTCTGTCACATTTCTGTCGTAAAAAGTCGAGTTTTACAAAGGAAACCGCGACAATATATGTCTACATAGTAGAAAGCACACAAACATATGCCTTCTTCAGGTAGCCGATTGGGGCCATTATATTCCGCGATATTTTGTTTTGATGAATACCTTGTAAAAGGTCGAGTTTGAGTATTATCACGGTACACGAAGGATGGAGTTCTTATGATAACTTGTCAGGAGATCTTGTGATAACTGTCACGGAGTTTGTCGGAAAACTTTTGCATATACCACAAAAACACTTTTCAAAAATAGTAATTTTCATCTATAAAAAGTGAGGTTTAGGTGCCAAATGTCCAAGAGTTCTTATGATAACTTTTGTAACTGCCGTTAAATCACGATAAAGGAGGGATAAATTGTAGAGTCAAACTATGGGCGCTACCGGTATGTACCTTGCTGTTTCCATAAACGTTCCTCGCGAGATTTGTACGATGTCGGCAGAAAATATCGCAGGTTTCTAAGTTGCACGTGTAATTTTATGATAAAACGATAAAAATCCTCGATGGTTTGAAATGGCCGCAACAGGCCACCATAAAGGTTGTTTCCCTTTTAATAAACGGTATATATAAATGCATTATAGTATACATGCATTATAGTATATTATACTTTATAATATTTCATAACATCTCTTCATTGTACATATATGTACAAAATGTTAAAAATTTACAGCATAAAAGTACAATGCCACTCCAACATGGAGTTATAAGAGATGAAAAGTCTATATCACAATATTAGAATATAATATACATATTTATGCATAAATCATTATAACAACACTTCTAAATGATAAAACTGAGAAACAATTATACATATACTTATAAAATCAAACATCGTGACTACCTGAAAAGAGCAATTACATTAAAACTGAGAAATCGTATAAAATAGCTAGAAAAACGATTTTACTTCAGTTAAAAAATCAAACTAATAAGAATAGCTGATAAGAATAGCTGCAGTATTTCATACAAATGTGAAAGGAAAGATATAAATGTTAACATGAATAAGAAACTATTTACATAATAAAAGCCGGCGTCTTTGTTAGATATTTAAACAGGTTTTGACACAAATACGAATCATAATTATCGATTTTTTAAAAAAAGAAAACAGTATTTTTCATCATCAGACAGTGTCGAAAAGCTGTTACTTTAGCCAACAAATCCCGCCTTATATCATTGCAAAGAGAACAATTCAAGATAACATGTAATTCATTTTCTATAGTATCAGTATTGCAAAAAGGACAGATTCTGGCTTGATCTGGTAAGCCTTCATACCTCCTTCGTTACTATCCTTATGGGAGCGACCCCAATACGGAATTTACAAAAAGCAGATCTAGCTATGACTTGGTGGTAATACAAGTTTAAAATATTTTTCTACTTTATACTCAGTTTGAAATTTATTACGTCCACGACCAGAGGGTCCAACAACATGAACAAGGTATAGGACTGATAAAACTGGTGTACAAATGCAAATTATTGACATCATAATATCTTCTAACATGAAAATACCAGTTTCTACATGAATGAATGACTTGCTTTCAGTACAGGTATTAATTTTGGTATTGCACATGGGTAAGATCATTTCATAATCACTTTATCAGTTTGTAGCAATAATGATTGTCTATGAAAGGATTATGTAATTGTTTATCATATGCTGAAAATCTCTTTTGTGCCATTGGTTTTATATAGTTTTAGAATAATCCCTAATTTATATTATTCCATTTTTTTATCATAAAATTGTATTGAAAATGAATTGTATTGATCAATATACATGTATTACAACATTATGTATGATTATGTTCTATGTACAAGTCAAAATACAATAACTAATATGTTTTGTGATTTACATTTAAGCACTTTGTGCAAATATTTAAAAAAAAAATGAGCTGCGTCACGACAAAACCAACATAGTGGGTTTGCGACCAGCATGGATCCAGACCAGCCTGCGGATCCGCGCAGCATGATCAAGATCCATGCTGTTCGCTTACAAACCCTATAACAAGTAGAGAAACTGACAGCGAACAGCATGGATCCTGATCAGACTGTGCGGATGCGCAGGCTTGTCTGGATCCATGCTGGTCGCAAACGCACTTTATAACATCCGTGCCGATTTTGCGACTCCGTAAAATGGTATTGCACGGCCGTGCATATATTATGACGTGACGTAATTAGCGTGTAAAGACGCGCTAAATGTTAGCGTTATATTATAGGCGCGTCAATGAAAAATGACTCTTATTTCACTTTAAACGGTATTTATTTTGGGTATGTGATAAATAGAATATTAAATTCGTGTAAGTTCATTACTGAATTTATTGCACTCTATGAATAAAATAATATCATGCTCGCCAGAGGCTCGCATAATATAATTTTATTCAACACGTGCAATAAATTCAGTATTGAACTTACACTCATTCAATATCCTCTATTTGTTGGTTTTGTCGTGACGCGGCTCAAATGTTGTTGCCGGATTGTTATTTACAAGGTTGACACATTGATAAGTTTTTCTCGAATTTTGTTACAATTTAAGCAGGATGTGTTCAAATATTCTATACGCATTCTATAATTGTGTACATTTTACTTACCATGAACACTTTTATTAGTGTCACTCAAAAGCAATACTAAGTGCCAAACCATGTGATGTCGTCATGACGTCATATTTTAAATGACGACATCAACACATCATTTCCTCTTTATTCAAAAATATTTTTTTTTCTATACATATAGATCTAATAGCATGTAATAGATCTTTTTGAAATCAGTGATCTCTAAAAGTCCAACTTTGTTATGACGTGTTTTTCTTAAGATTTTTCTAAAGATATTTTATTCATTTAACAAAGATGTCGTAAAGTAGGCTTTGTCAATATTTCAAAATCGATAGGCATATATATATACTACATTATGTCTTTTTAAATAGCATACACTCGAGTCTTATGTATACATAGACCTAGTACAAATATCAGTACATCACACATTTTTTTTTTATCGTCACGACGGATATAGATTCTTTCGTGTTTATTGTTTATTACTATTTAGATCTAGATCTATGTTGCTTTCAAAAACGAAATGAAAAACGTTTTATTTTGGATTATTTTTGGATTAACACAAACAGGTAAGTAGATCTAAATAAATGAAAATTTATATAATAACCATAATTTTTTGTTTTTATTAGATTCTACACTAAATTTACTCTGAAAATTAAGCAGCACAGGATATTTTTTTATACAGTTTACCTTTCTTATAAATACTTGAATGCAGATAATTCAAATTAGTCTAGAAAATGAATTTCTGATCAACCTGACACCCAGGAAGACTTTAGATTGTAGATCTATTAAGTTATAAAAAGAAAAAAAGTTTATAAACTCTTGTTAAGGATTTTAATGTAGGATGTATGGTGGCACAGGACATACTAAGTACTTCTTCAATTACACTGTATCTCATATAGCCCTACAATATGTCACCTCTGTGCCAAAAAAGGAAGTTAAGAACGCCAAACAAACTGTAAATATTCTGTTATGAATATTTTATGATAAATTTATCAACATGCCCGTGTGTAACTGAGTTACTTTTACAGTCTAACTTGAACAGTGCCAATTTATTTATGAAGAAATTGTTCACATTCTATCGATTATCTTTATTCATTAATACAGATATTTACATTATAATTCGTTTGGAACACTACCAAAATCATTTTAACAATACTATATAAAGATCAATTCTATCGGTGCTCCGTGGCCAATTGGTTTTCAAGTCGTTGACTTCAAACCATTTGGCCCTCACCGCTGACGGTTCGAATCTCGACAGGGACTTTGGATTCTTTCATGTGAGTAAGCTATCTAGGTAGCTTACGGAACGTCGGTGGTTCTACTCAGGTGCCCGTTCGTGCCAATGTAAACGGCAGTAAAGCTGGAACGTCGCCATATGACCTATACTGTGTCGGTGTGACGTAAAACCCAATCAAACAAACAATCAATTCTATCACGAGACTATAAAAAAAGGAATTATATATATATATATATATATATATATATATATATATATATCTTAAGACAATCTGTGTTCAGCTTATAAAAAATGTACACTTTAATGACATTTATGATTATTTTGGTGATTAATATATTTCTATGTCGAAATAACACGGCAAGTCAATGCCTATGAAAATATGTCGATATTAAAAATGGCTGTGTGACAAAAGTGATTTATTTATACTGTAATTGTATTGATTGAGACATGAAAATGCTATGCTAAAAGTGACATAACAATTACAATGGGTAACATGACTATATTGATGATAATATGACTGTGCCGATAGTGAAATGGCTATGCCGATATAAATGTTAGGATGTGTCAATAATGAATTTGCCACGTCGATTGTGATATGACTTCGCCGATAATTATATATGGTTGTGTCAATAATGAATTTACCACGTCGATTGTTAAATGACTTCGCCGATAATTATATATGGTTGTGTCAATAATGAAATGACTATGCCGATAATGATATGGCAGTGTCAATAATGAAATGACTACCGATAATTCTATGGCAGTATCATGAAATGACTACACCGATAATTATATGACAGTGTCAATAATAAAATGACTATGCCGATAAGGATATGGTTGTGTCAATAATAAAATGACTATGCCGATAAGGATATGGTTGTGTCAATAATGAAATGACTAAGTCGATAATGATAATTATGGCAGTGTCAATAATGAAATGACTACCGATAATTATATGGCAGTATCATGAAATGACTACACCGATAATTATATCAATCAAGAGCAAGAAGTTATGTATTATTTTGTGATTTTGGTTTTAAGTCATATCTGTCAATGGTGAATATTGAAAAATTTAGGAAATCTTTATCACGTTTCAGGACATCATCGCATAGATTAAAAGTAGAAACTGGTAGATGGCATAAACCTGAGCAATTCCTTATAATGAAAGAAAATGTAATATTTGCTTAAAACTAGAAGATGAATTTTTCATGTATTATTAGAATGTCCACAATACAATGTTTTGAGAAAACAGCTCATAGATAAATATTATTGGAAAAAACCAAATATACCAAAATTTATTGAATTGTTAACATCTCAAAATGAAAATGTTATAAGAAAATTATCAATGTTTATCTTTAAAATGTTTGAATTAAGAACAAATGTTGAATATTCGTAAATTATAGTACCTAGGAAGGTAAATGTAAAGTTACTTAATTGATATCATTATGCAAAACCTGTGCTTCATTTAGACCTTGCTGTAATATGTTAATCTGTTCACACTAAAGCAAACTTATGACTCAAATATACAGTAAATGCTAAATATATGTTATATATGTTTAATGACCTTGATATTATGATTATGTATGTACGTATGTTTGTATATATGCTGTGTGCTCATGGGTATAATACCCACATGTATTTGGAATAAAGTCTTATAAATCTTATATGACAGTGTCAATAATGAAATGGCGAATGAAAGCGAATATAATCAAAGATTAATCAGTTATATGATTTTCTATATAGAAAAATCATACATTAAGATTGTAACTTTTCGGTTCTTTTCGTTATTCTTCGATAAAGGACCACAAACTACATAAATAATTGGTAGTAGCTTCGCACGCTACAAAATAAAACGTGTAAATAAGTGACAAGGTCATGTATGAAATTATTAATGTACTTTATTCTATTAAATTAAAGTATTTAATTTACCATTCTATTTCAGAAATAGCACGAGCCGGTGAGACATGCACTGACTATGATCGATACAACGATGTATATTTTTATTGCGATAACGGATGTTGTGGGTCCTGGCCGTATGAGTATTGCTGTGAAGACACGGTATGGCTAGGTTGGGCAATAGCTGGAGGGGTCATAGGTGGCATCTTTCTAATAAGTTTCGTTGTATGTGTCGTCTGTGTTTGCGTTAAACAAAAAGGGAAGACAGGCCGCATTGTACAGCCCGAATCAGGTAAGATTGATATTAGGTAATTAGCACAAGGCAATTATTTAAAATCATTTATGGCATATTCTATAGCCATCGTTACAAGAAGAAGTCATAAACAATGTAAATGACAATATGGAAAATCGCTTCACGCTTGTACAAATGCTAGTTTACATTATTAGATAAAGTTATAAAGTTTTTGACAGGTTATATGACCGGTAAATAAACGGTTGTTCGAAAATATAACCCGAGCGATAGGCGAGGGTTATATTTGAAACAATCATTTTTATACGGCCATATAACCTGCCAAGAATCTTTATAACGAATTTATAACACTAGGGAAAAAATCAAATTTCGACATAAATTGACAGCAGCCGTGCATATAAACGTCATGATAGTCTAATGAAAAGCAACGTTACAAACGTGCAGTATCATAAAAAGCTTTATTACCCTTCCAGATTTTTTCCGCCTTTTTGATTGGATATTGATCACCCGAAAGAAATACCATAAATACAGAATGGAGGAACCCCAGCTTGCACTGTTTTTCTATTCAATAGTTTGTTTTATCACACACCCGTGCCGATTTTGCGACTCCGTAAATATGGTATTGCACGGCCGTGCATATATTTTGACGTGACGTCATTAGCGTTATACAAACATAGTGTAAAGACGCGCTAAATGTTAGCGTTATACTATAGGCGCGTCAATGAAATATGACTCTTATTTCACCTTAAACGGTCTTTATTTTTTGTATGTGATAAATAGAATATTAAATTCGTGTAAGTTCATTACTAAATTTATTGCACTCGTTGAATAAAATAATATTATGCTCGCCAGAGGCTCGCATAATATAATTTTATTCAACTCGTGCAATAAATTCAGTATTGAACTTACACTCATTCAATATCCTCTATATAACCGGTTACATTTTATATGCCTTGGTTTTATAAAAAAAACTGAAACTGAAAATGATCAAGTCACTTACAGTTCAAGAAGAATCAACTTAAATTAATACTATTTAATTTATATTCATCGATTTGTATATAGTTATTCAATCTAGACTTTTTATATTAAGATGATATTCATTTCAGGAACAACAGTTTCGCACGTGGCAACGTATCCACAAAGTCAAGGCTACTATCCACAAAGTCAAGGCTATTATCCACAATACGCCACAACTGGCTTTATACAAAACCCTTCAGCCCCACCTCCGCCACCTGCATACCAGTCGATATACGGACAACAACCACTTCCGCCACTCCCGTCGGGATTTCAAGGTCATCAACAACAAGGTCAACAGCATACTGACCAGGCGCCTCCGCCTATTGGTTTTAAATGACAAGTTAAAATCGTACTCGGAACTTAAAAAAAGAGTGTTTAATTCATTTATTTCGTTTATTAATGATATGATTCTGCGAACAAAATTCTCAATTTCACTATCGTTTGCTCATCGTTTGCAGATGACATCAGGCTCACATGTTGTTGTTTATTTTACATGATTATAACATTTACAGTGCGTTTGATGAAGTGTCCGAAATCATTGTTTTGTTTGCAGTGTTTCTAGGCAATATGAACAGAATGTTTTGTTTTTTTTAAATTTAGGTTTGAATTATGATCGGGATATAACTGTTATATCAAATCTAAGATCACCTTAAATAGAGACAGAGAAAACCCCTAGAGAAAACCAACACGCCGCCGCCTTTGTAATCTGGCATGGAGATAATATATTTACAATACAAAGTAATATCATGTTTTTACTCTTTTATAATTATTTTTACACTATTAATTGGACATTAATTTGGCAAATATTTCGCAATACGTATTGCCGTAGAATCATTACGTCATTGTTTGACAAGATATACTGTATTTTATCACGTACCCGTGTCGCAAGAGCGACACGTAAAACGGTGTTGAACGTGAAGTGAGGTCATTTGCGTAATACATGTAGAAACATAGCGTAAAGACGCGTTAATGTTAGCGTTACTCTAAAAGCGCGTCATTGAAAAAAAAAGATTTTTTTAACTGAAAACAATTCTTATTTTGGATATGTGATAAACAGAATATTCTTTTTTTTAGTATTTGAGTGGGATACTAAAGCCAATAGATTTTGTATAATTGTGCCATACATAAAGTCTGGATTACATAATTTTAGGTAAATGAACTACACATGTATATTTAAATTACCAGATTTGGATTCAGAATCTTGACACAGCCTATTCTGTATTTGTATGATTTTTAATATGTATTTATATATCTTTTTTGTTTATTTGTTGATCATTTCTGTTCTTTCTGTTTTTCATTAAAATTTAACTTGTTTTCGGAGTTTTTGTCAGTTTGGCTTCAGGTGCAACAAAACACAACAGTGTCATTTAATAATGAAGGACTACCAGTAAATGGAAAAAAAGTCATACTAGCGTAACATACAAAATGTAAAACAAAGTTACATCTTTAAATGCAATTGTTTTTAAAATTAACGCTTTTAAAGTTATGCATATACGTGTATGCATATATTTAATGCTGAACGATGATTTTAACTTTTTGTCGAAAGACCATCTGATACCAAAAAAATGACATTTTAAAATATCTCAAAATCAGGTGAAACTGGCATTGCATAACCAAAAAATGTAACAATGAAAACGTTCAGTTATTAGTTTCACATTTGAGTATATCCTTGGCCTCGTAGGCCAATCGGAATCGGAGGAAGACGTTCATGTAGAAAAATCGGTGGTTGTTGTTGTTGGTGGTGATGGTGGTGTTGATCTTGTTGCTGCTGCCAATATTGTTGTTGGTCATGCTGATGTCCATATAAAGTTTGATAGGACGGCGGTAATTCCGGTAGTATTAAAGGATTTTGTATGATTGTCGTAACGTGACCATGGCCTACTGGATATGGTGTCGTTTGAGAGATTGTCGAAGCTGTATAATATAGAAAAAAATACAATATATCAAATAGATTCAGGGAACAAAATGATGTTTCAATAAACGCTGACATTTTATTAAACAAACAAATTACTGGTTTCAATGTAAAAATGTTAAGAATTGCACACGCATGCACCAAATGTTACAGAGCTATTTTGATTAAAAAATTAAACTAAGTAACCATGTCACAATAGTTTTCTTAAAACTGGCAACACTTAGGTTATAGGAGAAATGGGCTCTAATAAAAGAGAATTCTCTGAAGTCGACTCACCATAAACAGGCAACATATGGTTCTGACTTTGGGAGGGATTTATCAATCGACCCTTCTTGCCTCTAACCTTGATAAGTAAGCAGACGCCACATATACTCAAACCGATGATAAATATAGCAGCAATTACCCCACCCACCACTGCCCAGCCGTACCAATAGGTCTCATCGCAACACGTTTCATAGGGCCAGGAACCGCAGCAGCCATCATCGCAATATAGACGCTCGGGTTTATAGTTTTTGTTTCTACAGTAAACGCTTGCTTCTAAAATGCCTGTCAATTATTAAAAACGTCTATTTAAGAAATAACATCGGCCGGAGAGGTGTATATCGGCTATTTAACACTGGTTTGGAGTTTTGATGCGTAGGAATTGACCACGAAGGCCGTAGGCCTGAGTGTTTAATTTTGTCGCATCAAAACGATAAAACCGTTCTTAAATAGCCGATATACACCTCTCCGGCCGATGATATAGAAATTATTAAACAAAAGAAATAATTAGAAAAAAACGTTATTTTATCAAGTTTTCAGCAATAAAAACTTACGTCGTATTGTGTTTACATCAGTGCCCCATTTATCATTCTTGTATGTATGAAATAACGTCAGCTTGTTTATGATTGAGTTGTTTACTTACGATGACGTCATTACGCTGCTTACGGATTGGCGCCGTTTTGTCAAAATATTTATTAACTGATATGGATCTTATATGCACGCGTAAGTGTATGTGAGATATTATTTCGGTATTGTATGAAAAGAAAACATTATACGAACTGAAAATATAGATAAAAATGCTTTTTATTGTTGCTTTAACAGCCTTATAACTATGCAATCGAGGGTGAAAAGTTAAACATAACAGCGCATATTCAAGTAGTCCCTAACCGGTGTTTATTGGCAGTTTAACACCAGTTTTTTTTCTTCTTTGTCTAAAGTGACAAAATCACGTGAGTGTTAGAATTGATGTTTTACTTGATGTAATTTTTAAATAACAGGACACATAGAAAAAAGTTAGGAACAGAAATTATAATTTTCTCTGAAAAGAAAAATTAAAAAATTAGAACATTACGACATTTTTTCATGATTTTCTTTTCCCCAGAAATATTATAAGATACTCTTATTATACTGAATTATATACGAAAAGTGACCCCAAAAAAAACTTACTGTCAAATACAGTCATAAAGTAAAACTCGTCATTGGCCTATATATAACAAAATTGTAGTAAAAAATATTTACAAATTAGAATGTAATAGTTTACATAGTTGACATGTACATACCTATTTGTATCAGTCCGAAAACTAGGTACACAGTTAAACGTTTCATTATTAAGTCATGAAAGAAATGAATCGATCAAAATTAATAACTATTTAATAAGTATAAAGGGATTAAAAATAATCGCTAATTTTACTGAACTTTCGTTATGCGGTATTACCTGATTTAACTTTGGAACAGTCAACATTTTGTTACTTTAATGGAATTGCATTTTCCAAACAACACTGTCGTGTGACGTTTAGCTCTGCTGCTAAGTTTTGTCGATACGCAACACTGTCGTTTCCATTTCCCCGGGTATCGTACTGCATTGCAATTGCCCTTTCCGCCAGTCTTCGGATAAGGTTATTATAATAGCCGAGGATGTTCCGATTGAATGCATTGTCGCAATGTCGATTTACAATGTCATGGGACGACATCTTCGCATTATGAACACTAGATAACTCCCTAAAAGAATACGAACTTCGTCCAAGGCATTTCAAAAATATTTCATTTGAGTAGAACCATTATTGAAATTACGAAAAAGCAAGTTGTGCAACTTTCAAATTGCTTTTTTTCGTAATTTCAATTATGGTTTTAGAAACAAGAAAAAAGTCTATCATTGACCTCGTCCGGCGGTGGCTCTTGTAAGTCTGAACTTAATTCATTGAAAAAGATCTAATGTTCTTAATATATTCACATCTGTTGCATATTGATCGTTGTGTTCAAATTCATTACTGTTGCGTATGGTCTTATGGATTAATTAAATGTGTTAATGCTTATTTCTGATACTTTAAGTCTTATTGATTGAAACAATGATCAAATTTATAATTTTCCAATAAACCGTGTTTGTTCGGATATATAGATATCTTGGCAAGTCTGTATCTTTTTTGTTCATGTCATCTTGCAGAAGCTTTTGACTAACTTCATTAATAAGTTTATATACTCGGTGGTGGCCGCTTGTTTCTTCACATTTGTCAAATTCACGGGTAAACGTTTCAGTATGAAAACCACCGAAATCTTAATTTTGATGTATAAAGTGAAATGCACAATTTTGATATTATATAGTTTTTTAAAATCATACTGTCAAATTTCTTATCAAGTTTCAAAAACCTTGATTTAATAAATGTCAAATAAAAACAATGATTTATAAAAACAATGACTTATAAAAACAATAACTTTAATATAGACATAAAATTCACAGCCCTGTTTTAATTTTACAAACCATGAATCAGCAAATAAGTGCTCCCACTGAGATTTGAACTCAGAACTCCTCTTATGTATGTGATACAATAAAAGAGGCATTTTTAAAATTAAACTACAAGAGCTTAAAACTTACTAACCATGGCTTGTTATTTAAAAGATTAACATTCTTCCTACTTTTTTGCATCTATATATAGTTTTTAAATAGCCAAATATAGGTAAGGGTCAAATATAGGTCTATTTAAAAAAAAAAGGCAAAAATTCACAATTTTATCCTAAAAATTCCTTACTTTTATAAAGGATTTCTCAGAATCATTTCAACTATTTAGCACATAAGAATTTTTTTAAAAAGCACACTTAAAATGTTTTTTTTATCATCCGGATTACATATTTCTGAAAGATTTTGTAAAATATTGACAATTTTCTATTCCTTATGGTTCTTATTTTAGCAATCTAAGGCATGTGCTGTTATGATGAAAAAAAAAAAACAACACTAAATTGAATTACCAACAGGAATAAATTCTGTCATGTACGTAAATTTTGCTTCTATAGGAGAAGCAAGTAAATAACTGCATACATTGTGTTAAAATGTAACAAATTCGAGAAATTTTACGGAACTAAATTTCAACATTGGTACTGTGACATCATATGATGACGTCATGAAAAAGAACGCATGACGTTACGCGGCAAAACAAGTAAAAATGACTAAAAATCACTAAAAAAGACTGGTTTGACATTTTTGCTTGTTAAATATTTCAGAATAATAAGAACTACTTTTTTACTGCGCACAGGCCAAAACTTTCAAAAACACATTACAATTTAACTCTGTTCTAAATGAAACTCTTTTATAAAACAAGAGCGATCAGTAATCACATGTGTCGCCTCGTGATGGCCAATTTCATGTTGGGACAAAGTTTGTGACAGACGGACAGACAGACGGACAGTGCACAACTAGACTTGGTACTGATCATTACTGTAAAGTTTGGATAAAATTGCACCAGTAGTTTATGAGGAGTAGTCCGGACAGGCTTTTGTGTATCTGGCAACACACAGAAAAAACACCTTTTTATCAAAGGGCCATAACTCGGTCAAAAATCATTCAACCGGAAAACCCGTGCAATATGCGGAAGGACTTGAGCTACAGATCAATCCTGTAAAGTTTCATTGAAATTGCTTTAGTGGTATAAGAGAAGTAGTCCGGACAAACTTTAAAAATAAAAATTATTAAAGGGCCATAACTCTGACAAAATCATTGAACCGGAAAATGCTGATAATATGCACAACTAGCCTTGGTATTGATCATTCCTGTAAAGTTTAGATGAAATTGCACCAGTAGTTTATGAGGAGTAGTCCGGACAAGCTTTTGTGTATCTGGCAACACACAGAAAAATACACATTTTTTATCAAAGGGCCATAACTCGGCCAAAAATCATTCAACCGGAAAAGCCTTGCAATATGCGCAAGGACTTGAGCTACAGATCAATCCTGTAAAGTTTCATTGAAATTGCTTTAGTGGTATAAGAGAAGTAGTCCGGACAAACTTTAAAATAAAAAATTATTAAAGGGCCATAACTCTGCCAAAAATCATTGAACCGGAAAATGCTGACAATATGCACAACTAGACTTGGTACTGATCATTCCTGTAAAGTTTGGATGAAATTGCACCAGTAGTTTATGAGGAGTAGTCCGGACAAGTTTTGTGACGGACAGACGGACAGACAGACGGACAGACAGACGACGGAGAAGTGATCCCTATATGTCGCCACTACTCCGTAGAGGCGACACGAAAAATTGATTGCAGGATAAATAGAATGATTGGTGCTATAGATGGAGAACTTAAACTATCTGGCCAAAGGCTCACCAAATAAATTCCTCCGCCTCGCTAGATCCAAGGCACCAACCTATTAATCATTCTCTATCACTTCAGACATCAAGAAAATGGTGAACAATGCAATCAAAATGTAAAAAAAATTAGTGATATGTAAAATAACATTGATAATACAAATACAAGATTCATTTCTCCCCCTCTGCTTTTACCATGGCTTGGGACATGCTAGAAGTTAAAACTGCACACATCCAGATATTTTAATTTCTTCAAAAATCAATCCAAATTTAGGAAAAGTAAAAAAAAAAGATATGCATACTTTTTCCATTCAATTCAAAATTAGATCTAGCTTATTAAAAATATTTAAAAATATTGTTATATTAATTCTACCCACTTATAAATAGTATAATATTACGCAGTTACTAAATATTTTAATACATAATAGGAAATAAATAAAAGTCTTTCTTATGGCTTTGTAAATTTTATAAAGTTTTCTGAACTTCAAATCTAAATATTTAACTTTATAATGCAACATATAATTAATTTTATTTAATTG